AATGCACGAGTAAGTACTTATTTAACAAAACAAACTCATCTCAACCCAAATCTTAATAAACTGGTAAATTTTCTGGTTAGACTTATTAATGCAATGCAAAGAATGCTGCCACAGACGCGGACATTTGAGTGAAGAGATGAGACTTGATGGGTTTGTAGGGACACAAAAACTGAGTCCTTTGTTGCTTTTAAATCATTCATCAGATGGATAGTTCTCGAGAAAATTGAGATCGAAGTTAAAACTTTGATCGCCTTTAGTGCAATTATGGAATTAGATTTTTTCAGTAAACTAGGCTCAATCATGTAAATTTTAATGACCAATCAGGAAATGCAAAGATTTTGAGGGATAAAGATCACTGTTTTATGTAAAACGGGTTAGTTCGATTTTTCGTTAAACCTGTCGCATTCCGTGACCGTATAAGTTAGAGAGTTGAAACTTATTAATTGTGAATAAAAGATGTTACGGCACAAGCACAATGAAAAAATTTTGCTAATTTATTGACAGTTCTCTGGAGGGGTGACAATTGATCTTTAAACTTTGAGCTTCGATATTTCGAACATGCAAGCACCTACATTCATCATTTTTGCACCACTTTCATGTTTTACTAACTAATGATTCGATTAATTCAATAAGTTTCAATTATAGCATTCAGGACATAATATTTGGGTTATAAATGAACGAGTAAATACTTATTTAACAAAACAAACTCATCTCAACCCAAATCTTAATAAACTGGTAAATTTTCTGGTTAGACTTATTAATGCAATGCAAAGAATGCTGTCAAAGACGCGGACATTTGAGTAAAGAGATGAGACTTGATGGGTTTGTAGGGACACAAAAACTGAGTCCTTTGGTGCTTTTAAACCATTCATCTAGTGAACAGTTTTCGAGAAAATCGAGATCCAAGTTAAAACTTTGATCGCCTTTAGTACAATTATGGAATTAGATTTTTTCATATAACTAAGCTCACTCATATAATTTTTAATGACCAACCAGGGAATGCAAAGATTTTGAAGAATAAATGTTACTGTTTTATGTTCGGGTCAGTTCGATTTTTCGTTAAACCCGTTTCATTCCATGACCGTATAAGTTAGAGAGCTGAAACTTAATATAAGCCCATAATAGTGTTTTATTCAAATATTGGATTAAACTTTTCTAACAATTTAGCAACAGTTCTCTTGATTATGGCCATTAATCTTCAAACTTTAAGCCTCGATATTCCAAGAATGGCATCACCTACAGTGATCATTCTTATGCAAAACATTAGTTTTTCTCATGCTTATAATACAATATGATCTAATTCCGAAAGAAAATGTGTGCAAATATCATTTAATAATGAATCCTCACCTAAACATCTTAAAATCTGTGCTTGATGATGTTTGTAACTATTTGCTTTTCTAAATCAATTAGCAAACTTTAGAGCATAAGTATTACAATGCTGTAACAGTTTTTCAGAGTCTTGGATGATCTAAAATCATGTTTGTATGATAATCAGTTTGAACAAAAGATCGTTTCAAGCGATTGGTATATTTGACAATAAACTTTAGATTCCTGTTTAAATGTACTTCACTAACGTAACAACGAACGAATTAATAGATGTACCAAGTTTTATGAGTTCTCTTAATGCAAAACAAAAGCTACATTAAAATGATTGTAACCATAGATGTCTGAGATGTTGAATAATTGCGACTCACACAGTAAATTGTTGAACGCAAACTTGCGCTTTGTAAATCCCTAAACTTTATCAAACTACCAAATATACTTTAACAAACGCGATTCTTTCATTGCAAGTCAAATGTCGATGAAGACTTTCAATCGTCAAATGTATCAAAACGTATATGAAAAACAAGTCTAAATGGTTATCAATAAAATTCAGAAATATTGAAGTTTAACATCTTTACCAGATTTATCCCAACAATTGCTTTCATTTGCTTAGCTTTTAAAATATTGTTTTAGATGAAGGGAAGCTTTTGAACATTGTTATTGTTTTTCATTCAAATTTATCATACCTTAAGCCTTTAGATTTCATTTGCTTTCATGATGACCTGGAAAACAAAAAGATCAGACCAATTTGACTTCTATTTTTAGAAACATCTATAAAAATTCTCATCGTCTCACGAGGATTTTGCCTGGAAATCAAGGTTTTAGGTTGAAGTTGTTTAGATGATGAGGATGATGATGATGCTGTTGAGGGTGATGAGGGTGATGAGGGAAGATGCAATGAAAAGGTTAGTTTCCTGGTTCTCCAACTGAAATCATAAGCGCATGGCTAACCTAGTAACGATCATCAAGCTAACGTCACCAAAGTAAACAAAATTTGGTGCAATATTGTTCATTGTGCTTCAAAATACTGCAAGTTTTAATCAACAATATTGAACATGCGAATGCACCTGGAAATCAATTTCGAGGCAAAACAGTAAACTTTACAGAAACTAAAATCTAATAATTTAATAACAAGCTGGAGAAATGATTGACCTGAATTGAACAGATTTTCAATGTCACAGAGTCTATGCAATGGAATCGAGTTAGTTGAGCGTCAGTAACGTCATCAACTACGCCATCAGGAAACTGTGAACTAGAAAAGGATGGAAACCAAAAATAGACTTTAATGAGGAATCGCATTGAGTGTTACAATTATTATGAAAACATCATTCCCTGAAGTGAGCATTGAATAATAAAACTCAGGGAAGCCTTGAGGATAAAGAGCATCAGAGTGAGACAAAGATTTACAAGAGAGAAAAGGAAAAGAGGAAAAGTCTAACTTTTTAAGGGGAAAGGTTATGAGGTTATTGGGTGAATGGGAGGGTTATAAGGTTGAAGGAGTGAAGGAGTGAAGGGATAAACAGTGGAATGATGATGATGATTGTAACAGGAATAGAACGACCGATGTTACTAAAAATAGAACCACTATTAGATAGTATTTTATACGATAAAAAATAGTAACTTTATCCATTTACTGGAAGAATCAAAATTTGGGTTAAAATTGGTAAAATTTTAAAGACTATCAGTAAACATCTTGCATCATTCACTTGGGTTCACACACTTTATTGTTAAAGGTAAATCTGATGCTCCAAGTTATCTAGGTTTGGTTATTAACTTTACTCAAGGTTGGCTTTTGTAATAAATATCAATGGGTTATGTGATTAACCAAAGTGTTGGAATCAGATCAACTTCAATACTGAAACCTGGTCTGCTTTCAAATAGGCGATTTTGCATTTCAATCAACACTTGGTAAAGGTTTCCATTTGAAATTCAGTAAACTTAATAATGCAAATCGACACTTTTGACTCTTGATAACTTTAACGATCCAGCAAAACTTTTCTCTGTAAATGAAATTCTGCAGTTGCTTAATGTTGCTCATGTTTTTGGAGAAAAACTTGATTCAGAGAAATTTATTCTTATTCAATTCTATTAGGTTATTTGGGTGAAAGACGATATTGTTTCCCAGCTTATTAGGTGCGTAAAACTGAATTCCCAGAAATTCTTACGATAAGCAACTAAGAAAATTTGACGAACTTCAAGTCGAAATCAATATCTTTTTGTAAATGAACAAATGGATGAAATTGTTCAAAAGTTGATCAAAATTTCAATCTTTTTTTCTGGTCAATTTGACCGATGAAAGTCAAATGAGGTTACAATTGAGTTTGACTTTTAGTTTTTTATTGCAAAGTTGAATGGCACTTTGATTCAATTTTTAAATTTTTTATTTTTCGTTTGAAATAAGATTTGACTGTTTTAATTGACTTTGAATGTACAGAAAAGGCAAAGAACAATAAACAATGAAAATATTGGAAGGCAATTTAATATTAATGGAAATGCAATGGATCGATGGTGAAAATGGTAGTCAATGTATTGATTAAAAGATATATTATAATTATATAGCAATGTAATTGCTATTGCAATGAGAGAAAAAAAGTTTGACATGAAATTGAGTCTGAATTATTGGGTGAAAAAAAAAGATGAAAAATGGTGAGAAAAATGCGAAAAGGGAAAAAATGGTTTTCGCAAAATTGGTTATGCATTTGTCTTGCTTTTTTCATTCTTGTTTGCTCTTCTTATTCTGGTAAAAGGACAATGAAATTCAAGTAAATACAAAAGTTTCTCATCTCAAGTGAAATAAATTGCTGTTCATCCAGAAAACGGACCAACACTGAAAGGAATGAAATGGATTTGAACATTTTCAATTCAATTAACAAGGAATCGAGTTGATGTAGCAACTTTTGTCTTCAACCAATGGTTCGATTCCCTGAGCAATAATAATAATGATAACTTTTTTCTTCCTGCCGATTCTCTTCTTATTTTTCGTCTTTGCCTCTTTTCTTCTTCTGTTGGTTTTCTCTTGTTTTTCTTCTTCTCATCAATTCTTCCCTCATGATTGCCTCTCCATCGATATTAATTGTTCAAGGGAAACATGTAAATGGAATGGAAAAGGGGAAAAGATGCTGACAATGTTTGAAATGGTTTACACCAAAAGAAAAGCATTGGGAGGTTGATTAATGGTTTATCCTGGGATGGAAGGGTTTTTATTATTCCAATTATTTTCTCTCCTTGTTAAACTTTGCCCTTTCAAATGAGCTTATTTTTTTCAATCTCCATGTTTATCATTATTCATGTTCAACTTATTGAATGGCACAATGTTGAACCGATGGATTGATTCACTTTTCAAAATTAATCATTTCATGAAATTGACTGGTTAAGCCTTGTTAATAACCCAAAAAGGTTGGTTCTGGTTCATTTTAATATCTAGTTTTTTACATTAATAATGAGTGACTGGCAATAACATTTAAGCATGCAATTGAAAAGACTCTGGATTTTACCAAATTTGTGTTTGGGTTTCAATGTTGGGCTTTTTTACTGGTTTTGGGTTTTCTGTTTGGTTTTGTTTTGAATATTTTCTGGTCAAATGATGAGTTGTTTGTCAATCATTTGGTTACTTTGATCAAATTGATTTTGATAGTTGGTTTGGCTTCTGGTTGGGTTTATTAACGCAGTAAACTTACTATTTTATGGTTCAAATGGGATAACTCTTTTTCGGTTATCTTTTTCCTGTTTGATTCTTGTTGCTGGCGTTTGTATTGGTGAAATTTACAGACAAGAAACATTGTCGGAAGGAATGAGGAAAGAACGTCGATAAACTTGTTCGGCATCAATAATTTTTGAACAATCAGTTGATAAATTGAATGATATTTTTGTCTTTGGTCTTCGTTTGGTCTGACCTTTTCAAGTCAATCAGTTTAATGTAAAATGAATGTTGATTTGAACATTTCTTTTGCAGATTTCATGTAAATTGACAGGGAATCAAATGAAATCAAACAGCCGTGATAAAACATTGAGTTCATCTTGTAATAATGGGTCAAGTTTAAGTGGATTTATCTGGCAACACCAGGAGATAAGGGCTGAGGAATGAAAAGATATCAGTTTGGGTTTGATGCACCAAGAACAAGGTTTCAGGCAGTTATAAAGGTAAACTTGTACAGATTGTAAAGAGCATTTTGCTGCTCAATTGTGATGATCATCTGATGAAAGACACAGCAAATATTGAGATGAAACAGTTGACTTTACTTGAACATAAAAAACCAGTTTAACTGAATAAAGATTTAGAGTAATAAACAACAGAGTTCAAGAGTGAATCAACTAATGAATGAACCAGGGATTGACTAGGAAAGTGTGGTAAGAGAAGGAGCCAAACATATCGGTGAAAATTGTATTCAGTCAGCTGGTATGCTTTAGATTCTGTCATCTTTCTCATTCTTCCAAAATCTCTTTATTGTCTGAGCATGATTCAGATTATCTCATGAAACAATACAAATATAAAAGAGTAATCATGGAAGCATTTCAACACAAATAATGTTGCTAGAGGTGCTTAAGAATCACTTGTTTTCTTTCAATCTTTATCTCGGTACCAAACATGTTTCATGTTTCATGAACAAACAAAGTTGTTAGGAACACTTTCACCAACTTATTTCCAGAAAGTAAAACTGTTAGCACAAGAAAATAGAAAGCAATAAAAACGAAAACAAAAAATGTTTGATCTGATCAACGCTGATCCGAATGCCTTTAAACCTACTAACAACACGATAAATGATTTTTATACGAAAATTGAATTTGATTTTAATTCACATTAGTTTAGATTAATTTTCACCAACCATAAAAAAATCAGTAAATAAATCTCTATTTGCTTCAATTGTTTTACACTATTGGTTGGGTTACCAGAAAATTTTCAAGCTTCGAGACCAAGTTGGGATTTCTGGTTTGACTTCACTTTGGTTGACGAATTTTTTACACAACTTGAAATATTCGGGGGAACTGATTGTTGTTTCTTAACAAAGCATTGAAATATAGTCTAATAAATTATTAAGTTAATATTTAATCTCTATTAATCTACAATCGAAACTTGAACCTAAATATTACAATTCTGGTTCCCTTCTATAGTGCCATCTATCGAGAAAGGAAAAATATCGATTGACTTTACAATATTTGAATTTCGCTCTCAAAGTAGTTCAGTCGGTTACTCTGTTTATGGTTAACCGGTGAAGTAACCAGGATTTGGTTCTTGTTTTTTTTTCTTGTAGCCGGTTACTCGTAACCAGTGTTTATGTTAGCTTAAAACTCTTGTTACTAAACATCTTGTTTTATTTATCGTTAATTATGATAAAAGCTATCCTTGTTTTCAATAATTATGGTAAACCACGTTTAACCAAATTCTATCATCACTATGTAAGTATTAAAGAGTCTATTCGCATCTATTTGATGTCAATATTGTTTGTAAAAATTGTTGTTTCTCCTTCGTTTTTGTTTCATTTATTTGCTCCAATTTCTAATTTGTATTTCTGTTTATTTGATGGTAGGCTGAAGATGTACAGCAAAACATAATACGTGAAACATTCCAATTAGTATCCAAACGGGACGATTCTGTGGTGTGCAATTTCCTGGAGGGAGGAAGGTAACGATCTGTTTCCCAGTTTTACTACAGCTACGCTGTAATCTAATTACCTGGCTTAACTGTCATCTTTGAATATATCCATATCCAATATCTAATTATTGACTCTGATTGATTCTTCTTTTCTCTTGATTTTCAGCTTGATCGGCGGCTCTGATTATCGATTAATTTATCGTCATTACGCTACACTTTATTTTGTTTTTTGTGTTGATTCGTCTGAAAGTGAATTGGGCATTCTCGATTTAATTCAGGTTTGTAATTTTGCTTTTTAATCATCTCTCAATATTTCTTATTTCATTTTTCCCTCGTATTTCGTTCACTTTTACAGGTTTTTGTTGAAACATTAGATAAATGTTTTGAAAACGTTTGTGAGCTTGATCTAATTTTCCATGTTGACAAGGTAAGTTTTTGGATCATTTTTGTTTTTTTAGTCCAACAGAAGCGATTTATTGTACAGAACCGAGTAAGATTGCTAAAATCATTGCAATCTACATTATATCAATATAAAATATTGCTTTTCCATTAATTTTAAATTTAAAAATTAATCTTTGTAGGTTCATCATATTCTAAATGAATTGGTAATGGGAGGTATGGTTCTGGAAACCAACGCAAACGAGATTCTACTGAGAATTGAGGAGCAAAACAAATTAGAAAAACAAGAGGTTAGACACCATCTTTTGGCCGAAATTAATCCATCTTTGGTCCATAATTTATTTTATTAAATATACTTTATCCCATTTCAGGCTGGACTTTCTACGGCACCGGCAAGAGCAGTTTCAGCCGTTAAAAATATGAATATACCTCAGCAGATAAAGGATATGAAATTACCTGATCTGCCAAATATTGGCGGATTGAAGTTTTAATTTTTCTTACTTAACTTATAATTGCTGAAACAATGGCTAAAGATTACATTAAATTAAGTGGCTTGGCACATTGGGGATGATTGATATTAATTCATAATAAAACATTTTATTTTGCTACGATTTATTCAGCATTTGGCAAATCCTTATTATTGACAGACCTCTTGAATCCACTCGACGAAGGCATCGAAATTGATATTTGAAGCTCTCTCAGAGCTAATCTTCCTCGTGATAAATGCATTTTTATTGCTTCCTAAGAAGAAAAATTTAGTAATGATAGGTAAATTTTGTTTTCAATCATTAGAAGTCATTCAACCTACTGGATTTCAAAATTGCTTAAATGAAGAAGCTATCATTGATGATTATCTATGAACTGCAAACTATCTGATTTTAAAAAATTAAACCATTATAAGAGAAACATTACCTCATCTTGAATATTTTTGTTGAGCTGGAAATCTTGTCTAATCCATTGTCTCAATTCATTTTTGCTCTTTACATCATGAATAGGTGAAATGGTTCTAAGGAAATCACGATACAAATCCATAACTTGGCTCCTTAGAATGAACTTTAAAACAAAACGGTAAACAAGAAAAAATAATCATTCCCAAACAATATGATTAAGATAAGATTTGAGCAAAAATTTCAATCATTACATACTCTGGATAATGAAAGAGTTTCCTTGGCCATGATAACAACAAATAACAACTGGAATGAAAACTAATTAATAAAAGATTTTGATAAAATACAAATCAAGTAAGTTGGTAAAACAATATTTCAAACCATTGGAATCTTAAATAATCACTAATGTGATCACAAGAGTTGATTAGTTAGTCAACAATTAAAATCTAAAAGAACTAGCTTTTGTTTACATTTTTCAATATCACCTGATTCACTAAACTAAATACCAGATAGCAGCACAGTAAAGTAATTTGTCAATGGCAAAAATTGCGATCCTATTTTAAAGCTGATCACCAATCAATCATGCCTATCTAAATTTACCATAATGACAGGTCTTGTTGGCTAGTTAAATTGCGAGAAAATTGACCGTAAGTGAAACCATCTTCTAGGACCTTTAATTGGAGAGGACACACCAAATCTTGCAACAACTATTGTGACAAATCCTTTTTGGACAAAAAAAGACGCTCAAACTGGTCAAATCTATGGAAACATTTTTGTACCCAACCTTTAAGAAATAACAATCCATGTCCAATTTAAATCTCCTCCTTAATCCTATCCTTTTCATTACCTTAACCTCAACTTACCTTTTATACTTACAATACCTTTTGGTTTCCTTTTCAAACTTCACAAATAGTTGATCTTATTAATATAAACTAGTTTAACAACAAATCTATAAACATTTAATGTATCAACATAACAACCAATACAAGCCAGTCAATATCAAACCGTCAAAAGATCACCCAGCCGGACAAAAATTAACCATCAATGGAGGCTTTTCACTGCCATTCAGTTTCTATCCCTTTATTGTTGGCTTGACTTGCTTGCAAAGCAATTATGGATACATCCTAGGTGAGCTACTTGGAGACAAGCTTAAAGGCTTTAAAGGCGAAACTATCAACCGGCTGTATTAATCTAAGGATAATACCCAAAAATGAATCACTAGTTATTCACCACGTTATTCACACCAGTCCATCAGAATTTTTAAACAAACAATGAAATATAACAAGTAATTGGACCTTTTCAGCGCTAAGGTGTTATAAAAGATTTAAGTCTCTTGTTGCTGAATAAGAAGAAAAAAATTCTGCCAAGCTTGGCAAGTTGATCAGAAAGGGAAATTACGCCACCAAAGAATGAAACAAAATTAATGAAAATGTAAAATTATAGTTTTCAAGTTGAATATAAAGCTGTCCTATCGATGAAATACTCACTATTTGATCAACTATTTCAGTCTCCCAGACGATGCATGATGAACATGAAGCTAAGAGATAAGTCATTTAGCCCTTCGTCAAGTAGTGTTTGTTAAGCTTTTTGTTATACAGAATGGTTCAGCCTGGACCGTCCATCATCATGGCTAGTCTATTGAAACTTTTCAAACACTAATCAAAGATTTAGTAAATTTGACTCAAAATATTGGAGTGTCAAGTATATTTGCGATTCGCTATTGAACAACAATTGATTTCGACTATTTACATATACATTAGGCTATAAATAGTTAACTATAAAGTTGATCATTTCCTGATCAGTTTAAAGCAAGAAATGTCAGTAAAAAAGGCAAAATGATATAGAATAAAGTCAAAAATTGAAGTCTTGTTTTCTCATTCCATAAACGATTCTGATCGAAATCTTCAACCTCTGGTTCTAAATGCTTAATCATCCACTTAGTGTACATTATATCGCACCAACGAACTGTTATTTATCCAAATATTTGTAATTTCAAGGAAAAAGATTTCCCTCAGAAACGAAGCTCTTGGCAACTTTTGAGTCAAATTTTCTGATAGAAAAAGAAATTGCAGCAAAGTCTTTGAAGTCGAAATTCCAGCGTTGTATTGAAGTCGAAGTTATTTACTTTGATTGGTCAAAATTTCACTCGATTCTGACCTGAACTGCAAATGAACTTTTACAATATCAATGATTAGAATCACAAAATTTTATCAAAAACATAAAACATTCAATAAACTTTCTATTCTTGCTATTTATAAATAATTCAATGAATCGAGTTATCTAAACCTTGAATCAAAAATCGGATATTAAGTGTTAATTTTAAATTAAATTGAGATAAAAAATGTAATTCTTCAAATTTCAATGACTTCATGAGAAATGTTGAATCTAAACGGCTTCACCAAAAGGATTGAATATTGAAGTTAACAAAAATCTGTGACTTAAGGCTATTCATTAAAAAAGGTGAAATCAATCATAAAAAAGGTAATAATTGTCATCAAATTTTTCCTCTGATGATTTGTTCAAACAAGTTAATCAAACTCTCGAGTTGAACAATTTTAATTGCGTTTAAATTTAAATAAAAAAAATGAATGGAAAAGTGTTTTTTGTTGTCAAATAAAAATATAATTAAAAAGGCAAAAATGCAAATTATTTACAAGAATGATTTAGAATAGAAAAATTGAAATTGATTTAATTAATAATCCTAGGAATACATATAATCATTACTAATTACATATTTGGCAAGTGTATAGAGTAATTTAGGGTACCAATGAATGCCATTATTTAAGTTATTAGAGTTGACATTAATTTCATTATACTTGGTACCATTGATTTGATTATTCAATGATAATCTATCATCTTGATTGGTCTCTAATTTTGGCTGTGATAATGTTATAGATGACTTTGATGACTGCATGAACCTTTGTGTGGCTAGGGAAGATGAAGATGAATTTGTTAACCAATTTTTAATATAATTTAAAGATTCTATTAAATTGTGATAAAGTCTGACAGGTAAGAAGGAAAGATGAGCCAAAGCATGATCATTGACAACTGCATAACATGAAGCAACAATTTGATTAACAATTAGATTGCCAGTTCGGGTTAAAGGTGCATAAGCGCCTTTCCTTAAACTTTGAGTTACTTTAACAACCTTTTCGGCTTTCAACTGAACCTCATGTAAACTAAATGGTTGATTGCTAGACAAACTGATTGGTAAAGTTGAAATGAACATCCCGGGTTGAATGGATGAAGCAAAGATAGCCGTCCATTGGTCACTTGGATCAGTTGAAGAGGATAATGTCCAAGTAGAGGGTGAAGGGTTCGGTGGTATTGAGTGACTTGAATTTTGTACAAATGAGGTTAATGTTGATGATGAGTTTGATGAGGTTAAAGGTGATGAACATGATGAGGTAGTTACATTTGTAATTGGATGATAGGCAAAGATAAGATGGGATTGAGTTAAAGTAATCACTTTACCGGTTTCAGTGATCAGATTAACGTAAAGTGTTTCAATATTTGGATGACGGTCAAGAAAAAGTAATATCTCACTGTAAGTAAATTGCCCATTGGAATCGAGGGAAAGAATCTCTTGTCCAACATTAACTTTGGACAGAGCAACTGGACCAGTTCGAGTGTAGACCAAACTGTCACCTGTAAAGCAACCTTCTGACCGGGATAAAGCTGCTTTATCTGAACAACAAAATGAACAAGAAAAGAAGAAAAATGTTAGTTTTTTTGTTTCAAGTGTTTACGGTGTAAAGGGTAAAGTCAGTTTGCTTGTAAAGTGTCGCTAAAGTGTTGTCGAGTTTAATGTTTCTTTTGGTTTGTTGAAATGGTTCAACATTTTGAAAGGTCTAAAAGGCCTTTTTGAGTGAAAACAAAAGTCGCTTGCAATCGCTTTCGCTCATCTCGCAAGTCAAAGGGCAAAATTTTTACGGGCAAAACAACAAAAGGCAAATTAGCAGATTGAGTTAAGTGATTTCAGTCTCTACTTTTTTTGTTCAACATTGAACTAATCGGCCATGTTTTTTTTGCACCCAAAAGTAATAGGTAAGAAAAAGGGCGAATCTATGGCAGGTTCGTCACTATTTTTTTTTACTAACCACCAATAAGGTGGTGCTTAGACCAGTTTGGTGGCTTTCATTATAATTATCATTATTACCTGAGGAGGAAAGCAAATAATAATATTAACAATATCACAAGGATCAGTGTTGTAAAAATAAAATTAAAGGCACAAACAAAGAATGTAAATCAGTGAAGTGACCCTTTATTTATCTGTAAACTGATTTTCTTCTTTTCTCATTTTCTTCTTTCTTTGCTTTCTTTCTTTCCTTCTTTCTTCTTCCGCCGAGAGACTGTAAAAAGACGAAAGACGAAGAAAGGTAAACCAAGAAAGGTAAGTAAGCAAGCAAAAAAAAGGTAAAATGAGCATTATTTTGTTTATTATTATTGACAATTATTTGAAGAGAAGAAGAAAAAAAACCTTCCTTGGTGGGAGAAGAATGTTGACAAAGAGAAAAGGCCAAAATGAAAGAGATACTCTCAACGGGAGGTCATAGGTTACGGGTGGCCTCTCAGTCTCCTATCACTTAACTCCCTTTTCATCTCCTTCATCATCATCTTCTTCTTTCTCCTCAACAAGTAAAATCAGTTTACAGATAAATAAAGGGCCACTTCACTGATTTACATTCTTTGTTTGTACCTTTACCTTTTTTTTTACACAAATGATCCTTGTGATGTTAATATTATTTGCTTTCCTCCTCAGGTAATAATAATGATAATAATAATAAGAAAGCCGCCAAACTGGTCTAAGCACCACCTTATTGGTGGTTAGCAAAAAATGGTGGCGGACTTGGCATTATATGCGCCTTTTTTTACCTTTTACTTTTGGGTGCAAAAGAAAAAAAACATGGCCGATTGGGTGCAAGTTTTTTGCTCTTCTTCTTCTTTCCTTTTACTAACCATTTGCCACCCTGAAGATTCCCTCTCTTTTTTTTCACCTCACAGGTTTTAGAAGCAGTTTTTTTATCTCTTTTACTCTGACCAAATGTTGGCCCATTCTTGACCAGGATATACATGGAAATTGGCCGCATTTGAATACCTTAAGAGGTCGACAAATTTGATTAGAGCAATTTGTATTCACTTTTTTTTCTCTTCTTCACCAAATTTTCTTTAAGTGTCAAATGTGACCAATTTTCAGGCTTTTTTTTATGTTCACTTTTTTTGAAACATTTTTTTGGGGTTCTTTACCTGATTTAACGGAAACATGAACATGATATCGAGACTCGTAAAGGACCCAATCAAAGCCAGCTATTACTGCAAGTCGAGCCAAAACTCCGTATTTACTGTTGTCTTTATCACTTGTTGTTATGTCAGCCGCTCGTCCTTCATAGTGTAAGGAATCGGGATTAAATTGACTTCCATCGTCCCAAGCTTCAATTACACGTAATTTGATTCCAGGCCAATGGTTTTGTACCAAACTTGCTAAAATGTCCAGCTTTTCTTTCAATCGCTAGACGATATAAATGAGAAGACAATCAATCAATTAATAAATTAATCAATGAATTTAATAAGTTTTTACTTCTTCTTCTGCTTCTTCTTCTTGTTAACGTTCAATCATTCCTTTCAATGCATTTACACATTTTGGTTAAGTTTTAATTTACAGTAGCTTATTGAGTTAGATAATCAAAATGGATAAGATGCTGGTCTTGAAATGCGATGATGAGAATGATGATGAAACCATCAAGGATACTCACCTTTGCTTCTCTCTTTTCATTTACCTATCATTTTCCCTCTGTCATTCAAGTAAACATCTGATACTCAGGTTCATCCCTGTCTAGTTAACTTTCAATGGGAATATCAAATTTCAAAAGATGAAAGTTTCTCGTTTCGTTTTTTTTTTCTTTCAACCAAACATCATCATCCTCTTGAACATCATCTTGTTCAACTCTCATCATTCCTCATTTCAACCTTTCACCATTAAAACAAATGCTGTTAATGTTTTTCTAACATTTCATTCCGAGTTACTGTTTAACCTTAAGTCAAAGGCAGTAAAAAAATCAAGCAAAAAGCAAAGCAAGGCAAAAAGCAAAAGGTAATGAAAAAAATAGCAACAACAAACAACAACACTAAAGAGTAATAAAAAGTCAACAACAATAATGATTATCGTTGTTGTTGTTATGATTATCACCATGATTAACTCTGAAAGTAACCAGGCAAACAGACGAAAAAAACGAACAGATAAAAGTGTATTATGTCTTCAATCTATACTTTCATTCAATTCAGTAGTTTTCAGCATTTTTTGTCAGACAAACTTTTCTTTCCATTTTGGTTCATTGTTTTATGAGCGTCATTTTAGCAACAAGTCTTGTCAAGTGTTTTTTGGTACAATATTGTGTCTACTCAAAGAAGTGAATCTGTGTTTTGCTAGACACTTACCGTGGTCATAATCCTATCGATACCGGTTCCTTCCTCGTCTTTGAAGACAATATCCGGATTGTAATTGGGCACTAATTTGGTGAAACGGGAATCAGTTTCATTGATTTTACCCTCACTGGGTCCAGAGGCACTTAAAGTGTTTTCCGATACATTGGGAATGTGTTGCTCCAAGACTAGTGGAGTTGTCTTACGAGGTATCCTGCGACGGCCTCCACTACGACCTGGACCACAGGCCGATACGGTCATTGTATTAATCAACAATATTGCACAGAAACATTTCACAATTATGAATTGAGTCATTTGAAAGATGAGACAGATTAAAACTGAATAACTTGGCGTCTGTAATTGTTGCTGGTTTAATTGTAACTAATAACTTAACGTTAATCATTAATTGTACTCAATGGAGTTCATTGGAGTAAGGTAAACAACAAGAGTAACAACAGGAACCACAACAGCAGCATTACTCTGTTGGATGTTCATTAAATAATCAATAATCACTGTAAAAAACACTTAATCCAAATGGTGTCTTGAAGAGGTTAAAATTTGAAGCCAAATTTTTCAACCAATTTTTATATCAACCAAAAATATTAACCAAATGATTGGAGTAAAAAGGAAAGCATTTAACTTAATCACAATTTAACATTTCACAGAAAAGGAAAAACTTCAATTTCGATTAATCGGTAATCGTTAATTGTTGATGTTTTGTTGTCACTTTTGGTGTATTACTTTTGCTTGCTTGTTGTTACTATTGTTGTTGTTTTTGTTGTTATTTTTTGTGTTGCTGTGTTGGTGTTGATTGTTTCACGTTTGATGATCTTATTGTGAATTGTGTTATTTCATTTACTATTAACTGTTAAGTTGTTGTGTTGATCAACAATGAACAAAAAAAGGTTAAAATGTAAATAATGAGATTCGTTTAACATGAAGAGTCTATCCTTTAATACGTTCATTGGTTACTATTAAATTGAAGGTGGTTACAATCAACTACAGAACTGGTTTCCATTGGACTATCATAAATACATTAAGGCGGTTACAATGGTTCAATATAACAGTTTTCATGTACTTGTTAGGGTGGGCCAATTTGGAGTGTTAAGGGAACCGAAAAGGTAAGGTTAGTTAGGTTAGAATGCATGTTTTTATATCTTGTTGTGGTGGTTTTGTTCACAGTATTTTTGTTTCTTTCAGGACAAAAATTGAATCAAGTAAAACATGATCAATACAAATCACCTTTTTTTTAACCTTCCTTTCAGCTTTTCTTGCTTTCCAAACCATGAACTTGCTTTTTGCCTTTCCTCGTTTCCACTGTAACTACAGTATTTATCTTAATGATGTTACGATGATTCTCAAGGAAATGATTAAGTAAATACAAGATTATTAGTCAAACACAAATAAAAGGAATTAGCTGATAAATCAATTTCAATTTGCTGTTAATACAACATCTCAAGATATTTGTATTGTTTAACAAAAAGGTAAAGTAAGGAAAGCTTTTTTTACACTCATTTCTGGTACATTACCTTTAGGCGGTTGGAAGATTCAATAAAATTTTAAAATCAAAAGTGGATTCCAAATAATTGACATCAATTCAGATCAAAATTTGGCCTACCTTGAAAATGTAAACTAAATGTTCACTTGATACATTTGTGTTTATTTATAAACATGTCTTTCAATTTTATTTTATAGTAATTTATGTATTTACAAGTGTTTCAAAATAATTCAGTATTTTATTGTTTTCTGCTCTTTTATTGTTGATCTAATAGTTGGGCAAATTTTCATTGGGATTGCCTTTTATTCATTGATATTAAATTATGACATGGTTGGTATTGATGGAAGATTTGGAGAGAGAATTTTTCGATTCTTAAGTTATCTCCATTTTTATTCAGAAATTATTAAATTTTTTGAACAGTTTGTTAATTGATAATCAATTGTAATTTCATTTTCAATTTTGATCAACTTTCATTTTTTGATACTGGTCGTAATTAGTAGATGGTCCCTTAAGCATTTTTTTGTAAACCGGGCTAACACGCGTCATCTGGATTTTTGTGAACTTACTTGTCTAATTTATTAATTGTTCTGGGTTATTTTGTGTTATTTGGTTTATTAATCAAATCTTTATCAACATGCAAAGTGACGAAATGAAGGAAATTATCTCTGATATGCTTAAAGGCATAAACAGGTTAGTACTTAACTGATGCTTTCTCTTGTATGCTTAGACCTTTCATTTTACTAATATTTTTGCTTTTACTGTTTCAGATATAATCCAAACAATATTGCTCAGTTGGAAGAGTATGTTGAAGCACAAATTAAGGACAATTTCTATGATCTCGAGGCTAACCTTGCTATCCTTAAATTGTACCAATTTAATCCTCTATCATTTAAAGCCAATATTTGTGAAGACATTCTCATCAAGGCTTTAACCAATATGCCTCATACTGATTTTGTGCTTTGCAAATGTTTAATTGATCCATCTAATGTAAGATTTTATTATTTTATACTGCTTTAATTTTTTGTATAATTTTACTAATTTCGTTCTTTGTACTTCATCAGCTGGAACTTGATTTAATCAAACATCTTTGTGGAGTCCATCACTTGTTGGAAACTTGCGCTTTTACTGATTTTTGGGTAGGTTGTCAACATTATATCTCTCGTGGTTTCATAAGGTTTAATGTACTCACAATCATCTTCTTTTTCAGATCCTAGTTGATAAGAGTTCCAAAATGTTCAGTCATGTTACTGGATTTTATGATGCCATTCGCAAATGTGAGTTGTGATAATGATATCAAGGTTTTCAAATGGTCACTCATTTCATTTTTTTTTGTTTTCACCGCAGATATTTGTTACATTCTGAAAATCACTTATCAAAACATTGATAAACCAACAATTAAAAAACTATTGAATGTCAATGACAGTCAACTTGACGGATGGATGAAGCAAAACGGCTGGAAAGAAACAAAACCGGGTGTCATTTTCATCGCTAATCAAGAAACCAACATTAAAACTAAAAATATCACTGAAACCATTGATTTCGAAGCTGTTGCTCCAGTCCTCGCTTCTTATCGATAATTTTTCTTATTAAAACTTGGATTAAAATAAATTTGAAATCTGTTGTGCAGTGATTATGTTTTAATATCTTGGCACTTCGACATACCATACAAAATGATTTTACTAAATCTGTTACATACATATTATGTATATCATGACTACTTCAACTTTAAGGTATTCCATGTATGGTCCCAAATAACATCTTCAGTTTACATTTGACTGGACAATTATAAAATATGTTTAAACAAATAGTATTAAATGCGCGAATCTCACAAGGTGTATTGGCAATTGGTTACGTATTTAAATCTCTTCTAGATATTCATTTCTTTTCTTGTTTTCCTTGAGCGATTACTTTACATCGAAGAGTAGAAGCTTCTACTGCATCAACTATTATGCCATTAAAGCCAGCTTTATCCAATGCGTGTATTCCATAAATAGTCGTTCCTCCGGGTGAACATACTTTATCACGCAAAACATATGGATGTGTCTCCGTCTCTTTTACAGTTTTGCCAGCTCCCTGTAAACAAAAAGAAAGAGAAAGCGAAAGAAGCACAAAGAAAACAAAAATAGATGTTGGTAAAGCCATCAAGTTTTGAGTTGAAAATATGATAAAAGTTGATCTCTTACTATGACAGTAGCAGCAGCAATTTGAGTTGCCAGAGTTCGGTCTAATCCCATTTTAACTGCACCATCACTTAATGCTTGTATAGCCGTATAAACCTAATTTAAAGATTATAAAAATTAACAAATTTTGTGTTATTTTTCTCATGCTAGAAATACTAAAGAATGAGATCCTTACAAATGCAATTCCACTTCCGCTGAGCCCCGAGATTATATCAATTAACCTCTCTTCTACCACAGGGAAGAAAGATATGGTTGATAAAAGATTTTGAAGCTTCTCGAAACCAGAATAATTGTTTCTCACTGTACAAGCCCATACACCAGCACCGACCTGAACAGCGGTATTTGGAATGGTTCGAACAATATTCAAACCTTTACCCAGAACATCCTCGAGAGCTTCTAAAGTTATTCCTGCCATGACAGAAACAATGTGTCCATCAAAACAACTAAGTAACGCACGAAAATTTGATCTGCTTTCAATGAATTGTGCTGGTTTGACACACAGGAATATGGCACCATCAGATCCTGAGCCTTTTACTTCTTTCACTAAATCAGCGTTTTTGGTTGTTGTCGAACATCCCAGTTGGGCGAATTTTTCTCCACTCGAATTAGTTCGAGTGCTAACAATTATGCTGGATGGTTCAACTTTTCCTAAAAAAAAGAAGAATACATTTTATTTATATGAAAGACAAATGATCTTATCACTAGACCAACTCATCGGGTCAGACCTATGTTAGTTTTTACTGAACTTTTACTTACAAGAAATAGCAATTGCTAATAGAAATCAAAACTTACCGTGTTTAATAAGGCCAATGACGATAGCATAAGCCATATTTCCACCGCCAAGGAAGCCCATCTTGGTCACTTTTCGAAGTGACTTATCTGGAGATGACTTTTCCATTTGTACTAATAATTCCTTACTGAGGCACGTTTAATATCACTTATGATAAAAGTGTCACATAAGAAAACTAATTTTCAAAACTATTTCCAGACTGAAGAAAATATGGTTACTGGTAGCCGGCTAAAAGTAACTAGAGGAGTAACCACGGTTTCTGCATCAAATCGATTAAATCGATGCGAAAATCGGTCCATAACAATTTTTTGTGATTGTCCTTTGAGAAGACCTTCTATAAAAATATTGCGATATTGTTTGGAAAATTTACAATTAAATGTAAGTTTAATTTATTTTTTTATTACTAATTCATTGTGGTAATATTTACGTGAACGATTTATGTTTCCATAAAGTAATATTCATCTTAAAAACAGTTTTAACTCTGCCAGATAAAGCTCTGAAAATCTAGTTTACAATTCAACCTCTTGTATCCAACATTGATTCACTAAAAATCTGTTTTCCTCTTTCAATAGTGTCATCATGATTCCTCGATTGTCATTATCTGCCCGCCATGTTTATCGGGCAATGGTGAGCTCTAAACGTATGGCTCATTATGAAAATCCGTATGCTAAATACCATCCTGCTGGCATTGAATTGATTCCGGCTCATCACTCTAAGGATCCATACACTTTAGATCCAGAAAAAATAAAGAACGACCCACACCACACTCTTCACAAAGTTCCCAGAGAATATTGGCCTGCTACCTTGAATGAATTCCCTGCTCCTAGTGGTTCATGGGCTGAGCATTATGCTGAAGTACAATCATCATACAACAAGCAGCTTATCGGTGGAATAATCCTTTTCTCGTTCGCACTGTATACTTTCGTATCCAATCCTAGAATTTTCTGGTACTCACCTCCATTGGACATTACTGATCTTAACTGGAGAGAGGGATTAGAGGAGGAATAGTTGCGTATTTTAATTGCAAAATGTAATATGTTATACTGAAGTTCAATACTTTTGATCTTGACTCGAGATCAATATGTATCAACTGATGATATTGTTATTCGTCATAGATTAATAGCTGGAATAACAGATTTGATTTCTTTTGAAAAAAATGTTTAATTTACTGATTTTCGGTTCAATAAATATTCACAGATAACAGTAATTTAGGTACAAGATATTTATAATTTACACACTATATTTATCGAAAAGTTGTTTCTTCTTTTCTTCGCGATTTTGCCTAACCGTTTCAGCATCAATAAAATAAGGCTCTGGAGCATCTTTACCAAGTGTTATAACTTTGACTTTCGTCAATCCTAGAACACGTATAGCTTGTTCAACTTGCGTCTCTTCGATATTATAAGCAGCGCCTTCTCGTTTTTCTTTTTGAACAAGATAATAGGCAACGCCGACAGTTTGAAAGGCGACAAACATGTAAGCAAATCTGAATCTATCGTACCATTTCTGAGCTGTTTCAGGGTCAATTGGCTTAAAAGTAGATCTAATAAAACGAATAATTCCATATTTGAACGACATAGTGACTGGGTATCCTTGCTTGACGAATCAAAACGGTGCACATAACCTCATGCAATTCAACGACCATTAACGTGATGGACTAAAACCCATACCAGCTGATGAATGCTAGATTCGACAAAAAAACAAACCATTAATTAAGACAAACGAGAAAATAAAAATGAATAATCAATCGACTTACCTAGAGATCATGAAAACAAATTCAGATTTTTCAGCCGGTTTCTGTTTTAAAGCAAAACAATCTAATCTGGTTACTCAACTTGGTTACTTTGACTAAACCAAGAGGTAAATTCAAAATGGAGTAAAGGTTTTCCTTCAACCATTCATAGATGACGCTGTGAGAATTTAATCAAAGTTAATCAAAAATTGTAAACCGACTTAATAGTTTCAATTTAATTGATTTCATTTTCTATACAAAACAATTCTAATCACTATCCACAGTTGGATCAACTCTTCGTAACACCAGACACTCTTTTTTGCCTTTTAACATGTTAAGCGGATTTTAAGGATTTATTATTCATAGTTAGTCTGACCTGTTTATTTGACTCATCTAAGCAAATCAATCAATCCTTTTCTAAGGTTACTCTTTAAGCTTAGAAGATTGGATAAAATTTGATGGATTGTGATGTATCTTTTTTGTTGATCTAATTTCAGAGGAAACAATTTTATGTACCTTCAAAACAAAGATTTACAAGATTTAAATGTTGGAAGGTGAAAAAGTCTATTCATTAACAAAAAGTTTCAGACAAAAAAATAGCTTCACGAACAATAGATTTATACCGAATGAAATTATCATGGACTGACAGACTGATTTATATATATTTACATGTGCATAAAAATAGCAAATTTATATATACACATTTATATATATATAGTGAATGCCATCGAAAAGTTTGACAGGAGAGAAAGAATGAAATGATGATTAAATAACAAAATAATTATCAAGAGTTTGAAGCAAAGAGTAACGTTGGTTACAGGTTTAAATGTTATCGATCCAAAGTTAAACTCCCAGTGCCAATCCCAGTCTCCTGGTTTTATCCATTGAAGGAGAAATAAAAAGTCGAGTGATAGTCGCGCATGTTATCTTCAAAATGAGACGGAATAACCTGAAAAAAAAGAAAGAGAACGAAGATTTCCAGTTTACCATTAAACTGTTTTGTCATCTCGTCTCTTTACCTCCTCTTGAATCGAGCAAAACAAAATAAAAGCCGGAGCTTTCCTCATCTCGTTCTGGTTTCCCAATCCTAGCAATATTCATTTGCTTTCAATTACCCAATCCAACCTTCCTTCTTGGATAAACCAGCATTCATTCCCTGGCAAGTGCAACTTGCTCTTCTAACAGGTAAGTTGAATTCAATCTAATTACTTGATGTTACTGGCGGTGTTGTTGTTTGTTTTTATAAAGTGATGTTGTTGTTGTTGATGATGATGATGATGATGATGATGATAATGTTTCATCTCTTGTCTTCTTCCTCTCCTTTTTGCCTTTTAATACGCAGATCTGTTCAAGTCTCGGTTGCCTTGAGTTGTATGTTTACCGGTTCGAGATATATACACATTGATGACCACACCCATTGTCAGTTAAATTGTTACAGTTAACCCATCTGATGAATTAGTCAATGGTTAATCCCATTCTGTGAAAAAAGGAAAAGTAAAACAATTAATAGATTGTAATAAATGGAAATGGCAAACAGTGAGATAACAGCTCTTCCAGGCTGCTATTTACTGGTAATCTTAGGTGAACCACTTTGTGAAAATCATAAGGAAAAGATACTTCAACGAGTGGCTAAAGGTGAGTAATTTTTGTTTCATTGAATTCCTTTAATCATTTAAATTAGCAAAAGCTTTTCATGTAAATTTACACACGAACAATAGAGTGTAAATTCATTGGTTTTCATTGTTCATTCATGTTCCCATATCAATTTGATTACCGTTGATCATCTTTGATGCTGTCCATAAAAGTGAAAGGGTTAGGTGTGGCTCAGTTTAATTTTGTTTCGCAATAAAAGATAATATTTTCTGTTCATATTTTACTTGATCATTAATATTATTGTTGCTATTTTCATCTATTCAGCGATCTTTCTCTACTCAAATGAAACCTCAAAAAACACTACAATTTAAGCATCTAAATCAACTTTGCCTATTGATTTCATTGATCTTTCTATGGACAGATGTAGATATTACATCTCAATATTAGGATGTTGTGTGTCTAACTGATATTAGTAATGATATACAAAATTTAGTTGACAAAATGGGAAATTTAATTTCCATTGTTGAATGGAGTCGACATGAAAAATGTCCAACAATTCCCAGCAAATTACTAACAACACTGTTTGTTTAACTGATTAATTGCTTGACTTTTGACTTGGTTCCTCACAAGTAAGGTTTGATATACAAAACAACTAACCAAAACAATTTCTTAATTAAATTGGAAAGCTAACCTTCAAAATAAAAGTATTATGTAAATGGATTTGCAGGTTGACACCGGCTTTCCTTAACCCAATTAGGTTGAAACCAAAATTCAATGTCTTATTTCATATTAGCAACACTTTTGCGCATAAACACCAATTAATCCCATGAATTATGATTTCCAGATGAGTTTACTAGATTAACCTTTACTCCAACCATCTTCAAAAGGAACCATTAAAATGAGGTTGTGCCAGGGCAAAGAGCTGTCTTGAATCTGTTGATTTTGTATCTATTGTGAGAAATGAAAAAAAGCTGTTAGTTGTCCATTAGTTGCTATATTGACTTTGCTAGGGAAAAATTATATCTTACTTTGAAAGTTCAGGATGTCATTCATCAGATGAACTTGCGTATTTCTTGGCTGCAGCGAGTCAAAAATTATTATTTTCAAAGAAATGGGTCAATAAACTGTTTCCAGTTAATTGTAGTCGATTATTAATGAGTGGCCACCATTGACATTTGTTTCCATTAAAAGTAACTTCCCAAACAATTTAACCAAATGCTGATATCATCTGAAAAAAAAGCGAGGAAAAAAACATTAGATAATCGGAAAGTTATTATTTGGGTCGAAAGTGAAAACATTTTTCTCTGATAATGCATTGATAGTGGATTGTATTTGAGATTCAACAATTATTAGTCGGCTAATTAGATTAAATTGATTTGATATGTTGATGGTTAAAATGAGAGAAAGCAAAAAATCATTACTTTGGTGTAATGAAATGTCATTCAATTTGCTGAATGATTAATATAATGGAGTGTGTTTTGAGAGATTCATCTAATTGAAATGTAACTCTAATCAAGCTAGTAGTTGGGTTTTAATTTAACTTTCAATTAACTTGATTTAGAGTCAAATTTTTAGATTAAATTTTCTTTTCGTTTATTCAACACTCAGAAAAGGTTCTCAGCCAACAGCAAGTCAGCCTTACTTTTTACAAGGGAAATGTTAACAGTCTGTTAAGGTGGTTAATTATGAATTAAAAGGCTTGGGATAATTTATATATCAGTTAAATGAATCTACATCTGCTATTATATAATTAGTAAAGGCGGATTCCTTATGAATTTAAGGTTTACTCTGTCTGAGCAAATATTAAATTAAATCAAGGTAAATATTGTCTATCAAGGTAGGATTGATTTTCATTTAGAGGATAAATCTACTATTGATATCATTTTATCATTGTCAAAATAGTTAAGGTTAGTAGTTAGTTAGTGACAAATTAAGTCAACTCATAAATATTTAGTGATAGACATTGAACATTTAGAGCTGACGATAAGATTATTTATGGTTATACTAAAGACAATGTTTTCATTTCATGGAAAGGGTTGGTATGGATAGGGAATTGAAATTTAAATAGTTAACACTAGACATATTCATCAACGTTTATCTAGTCGATTAAATTGTCAAGTGAACGGAAATTGAAACAGAATCAATGAGAACATTCATTGTTGTGAAAATGAATCTAATTGTCACACTAATGACACTGACTAGATTTGTTGGGAGAGAAAAATAAAAGTGAAATAATGATAACAACTTTCCATCGATTCAGTTTCAAGTTGGAAAAATATTTTTCCAAGAAAAAAAGTTAACAGGGTAAAGATTAATTACTACAGTTGACTGAACAATTAATGAAAGCAATATTTATACCAACCGATAGAGATAACTAACTTTCTTGTGAACCTTTGCTGTATCCATTTCAGACTCTTTGATCAGTCAGGTTAGGGTTAATTACAGTTATTAGGAAATAGTTTCAGTCTATTAAGTTTTGTTGGGAAAGGGATTGATTGTTGGTATATTTATAGGGAATCAGCTGAAGCAACTATTAATGGTTGATTTAGATGAGAATCAACATGCATTAATAAATTGGAAAGCTTGTAAATGTCAATGTCGTTTAAAAAAAACGATTAACATTTCGGTTTTCAAGTTAAATTGAAAATGTTGGTCCATAAAATCATCCATAACCAATCTATCAATTTGGTCTGGTTACTTTTTAATTTGCCGACTTAACTATCCTGAAAATGATCAATCTTGTTCCACCTTGTTTCCTTGTCAAGACAAATGTGTATGGACAATCGTTCATTCCAGAAAGAAAACATGATCATTGATTGGATATAAAAAAGGAATTGTTCCATGGATAACAATAGTGTCTAGTGATAAAAGGGAAAAATCAAAAGAAATTGAATTAGAAATGAAATAAAAAGATGATTCGCCAAGAAAATGACAATAAGTTATCAATTTGGGTTGTAATGCATTCAGAAAGCTGAAATAATTTTTAAGGTTCTTACAGACTAATCTGACTACAAGGTTGTTTCTATTTGTGTAAGCAAAATGTTGGTAAAGATAGTGATATACCTTTTAATGATATGCATACAATTGATCAGGTTTTACATTAAAACAGTAAAACATTTTTACATCATCCTGTAATTGTAAGGCTGAAATCAATTAGAACAGAAAGTTCAAAATTAATCGACTGAAAATAATTAGCAGGTAATATAATCCATAATAATTATGTGATATGGAAGCTTGTTTTTGAGAATGGAAATGATTTTTACATGTTTTTTCATGTATCTGTAAGACTAACCTTTTTACTACATGGTAATGTACAGGTAATGTAGCTCAATATTGCTCAATATAAAATCTTCATGTGTCCTGTTAAATGAGCTTGTATGGGATATATTTCATGGAAAGGCGAGTTTATTATCAGGTTCAACTTGATTCTTATCCAATGTAAATAAATTCCGTCATGAAACTGGTCACTGGTAAAACTGGATAATTGTTGTAATCCAATCCAAGCTGTCCATCAAGATTAAGCTAAAGAAGAGTTGTATTCCTTATAACCTTCGTATTCCTTGTTATGTAGGTTGATGTAAGATCTTGAAAAAAAAAGACTTTATTAGTTACTCACAATAGGTTAGAGGAGATATAATAAAAGGAAAAGAGTTGAAAGGTTTTTGATGGAAGACAAGTTCACAAAGATAAAGATAATATCACAATTCAAGACATTTTGTTGTTTTTGTGAGAAAATAATGATTACCTTAGAATAGTAAAATACGCCAAACAAACAGATGTCAATCTCTATATTAACCAGAAACCCAAAAACAAAGGGTTAAACTGTTAAAGTAGTCCGATGGGAATCAAGACTAACCATTATAACTGTAGAAATAATAAGCACAATATTGGGAAAGAAACTCATTTTATCCTTAAATCATTCAAGACTTTGGGACAGTTCGTTTGGAGCAAAAATGGTCATTGAAGAGGAGAAAAGTTAATTCGTTTCCAGCCAAACATTAAGATGAAAAGTCGATTATGCGGAATCATTAGATATAAATAAGATCAAAAAGATATTAGATTTATTATACTCAAAGTGTATTCACCAAAATTGTCCGAGCAATAATTCCTGTCTGAGTGAAAATTCATAGTTTACAATACTATTCTAGGTCAGTAAATGAGTCCAATTTACAGAGTTAAATCCATATCGTCCAAAGATTTCACACTTCTAATCGTCTGTCTTTCTTCCCTGACTCAGCAGTTAGAAATGGTTACTTTTGGCAGCGTATTTTAACGAAAGAAACTTCACTCCATGAACATTAGGAACAATTTTTTTAAATTAGCAATCAGATTCAATGAATAACTCTAAAAAACACCAGAAAACCGTTACATTAAACTTTTTTAAAAAAGCCAAACCCTTTATTTTGGTTAATCTCATTCATGATTGGTTTATAATAATCAGCCCGCGTGTTTTGAATAAACTGGCAACTTCTTTAATGATTCATTTATCATTCAAGATGTCATATTTACAAGCATTATAATCAACTAATGATTTAATTTTTCTCATTTTTTCTACAAATCTGTCATTAATGTATTTTTAGTGTTTTTATTAATTCCACAATTCTTAGTAATTCTTAGTCTAATGTTTGTGTAACTCCATATAAATATATTTACCGGTTCAACTTAATCAAGCTGGTATTATTGAAAAGTCTGTCTGTAAACCATTTATGCCACAGGAAAAGGGAGTTTCTGGTGTAACTTTTTCTCTTCCTTCTCTTCATCTGTGAGGTAGACCATGCATTTACCATGTAGATAGTGCACCATGGTTTCTGAGGAACGTCATTTATTGGAATAAAGTAAGCAATCTCTCCATCATTCATCAACAAGAAAGAAATGGAAAGTCAAGGAACAAAAATTGAGAGAGGAAAAAAAAGGGAAAGCAAAGATCAAAAGAACAAAAAATATGTGTCTATGTGTTTATGTGTTGTCAGAATAGAAGAGCAAGAATCGATACAAGGATGAGTCTTTCCATGTATACAGTGAGGATGTTACATGCTGTCTATGAGGCAATGGGTTACATTTACAATGTGTACTTGTATTATATAATGTATTTATGTCCCATGGAGCTGTTCATTATTTCTTTCATCAGTCTCACCTTTTATTGATTCTACTTTTGCTGCTACTCTTACCAGCACATCCCACGCCTTTATCTAACCCAATTCGGACTCTTTACCGGCCCACGAAACAATATGCCGGCTTCTCCCACCTCATGGGTGATACATCAGCTGACAAACCCAAAAACCCAAAGAGTCGAAAAATTTAGAGTAAAAATTTGATAATGTTTGCTGAGTATAAAATACTCAGCATAAAATCACTAGAGAAAAGGGATAAATTGTGAAGGAAGAAAAGTTTCTCAAGGTAAACCTTTTGCCTGATTCCATCCTTGGTGTGAAAAAAAATTGTGAAGATATCTATACACACACAAATTATTAACTGTGAATTATATCCTTATGATTTATGACTTTCGTTGAAATAGGCTTTCATCTTCTCTCAATAATTCATCAGTAAATAACCTTCATGAAGATAATACTTTAAACATTGTCTGACAAAATCAAAATTGCCTTGCTCTGTGAAAATTGAACCAATCTTTTGAATAAATTATCCGGTAGATACGTGAATTCTGGTCTATTTAACCCATTTATTATTGCGAAAATTGTCATTCCATAGATGAGGGCCATTATTTTATCATTTATCTACATATCTGTATTGCATTTAAATGATATTTACTGTAAATAATTTGATTTTGTCTGTTTGTATAGTCAACAACCAAACAATTAAGCCAATTCAGAAGTTAAAGGCAAAGGAAATTTAGACATAAATTGTTTTACTAATTACGCAGAAACCAGATTAGTTGCAGAATTAATTCTTTTTGATTTTCATTGATTCAAGTCTGGTGACACACCATGGTTAGCTAATTCTGCTATTTCCATTCTATCCTTCTTACTGAATTGAAAAAATAATCTTAGTCAAATTTTGAAATCTATCTTTGTTTTCAATGGGACTCTCCACAAACAAGACATTTATTTTTTCAATTTAGGCCTTTCGATGATTTGAGGCCATTAATTTAGGATCATTTGTTACATTGTTAACTAAATCTATGCTCTGTTGCCATTTTTGCTTAATATTTCACCAACAAAATGGATTTACATTTTTCAACAATTCAACCCTTTTGATGAACAATTTAAACAAACTTCTTACACAAAGCTATTTTTAATGCTACAGCCTAATGATTGATGATTTATCATTTTATTTATTTTTTCAATTAACAGGCCTATTATCATGGAATACCGAAGAGACTCAATGTGATTTGAAACATTTAGAGCAAGTCTGCGATAATTTGAAAACCAGTCAAAAGTCATCTGGTAAAACAGGTAAGAATACAATTTATTTGCTTCACTGGTTCACTTTTGATATTCACATTTTATTATGAATTTTGATCTTCTTCAAGTAAAATGTAATCCAATCATGATTCAAGTTGAATAAAAATGAAATAAATTGTAATATCGATAGATGAGCCAATCTCTTGATCTTTCCAAGAATAGGTTAACAATGTTCAATGGTAGTTACAGAGTTTTTCATGCTTCTACTGTGACAATTTAATGATGATTTAATTAGTATTGGTTTGATCATGTGGCATGTAAATTTGAGGTTTGAAAACACGGAAATTCAAAAGATCTGAACCATTTTTCATGAAATTGGTTGAGAGAATAAGTTTTGGATCCATTTGTCTGAACTCAGTTGCCTTGATAGTTGGATATCGTGATCTGATTGTTTAATCAGTTGGTTCAGTCATGTAAAGATAGCAGTTTATCAAGATAACTTTACATTGCGATCAATTCATCTCAGTTTTCACTTTCAATATCCATCAACTGTAAAGAAACCAACCTGAACTCAACTTGAATTTTATTTTCGTTTGTTTTATATTCACCATATTTAGCCTGAAACCTTGCAGTCTACCAAATTGTAATTTAATTTAGATGATTTATTCAACAGTCAGGCAACAATGAAGCATTAAAAGAAATCATAACCTTAATATTTAACTTAAATATATCATTGAACTTGCCCTATTCAAGCAGAAATCAAAACTACTTACAAAACCATCACGACTTACTTTTCATCAATTTTTAATTATCTTTTCCTTTATTTAAATTGATTCTCTTATCAACAGAACTTTTACTTCAACATTCAACCGATAAACTTGCTGTTGAGGTTTTATTTAATCCTCAGATATTCACCTTAAAGCAATGTCTTCGCAATTTACTTCTCTCACCAACTGGCCACAAGCATGTTATTCATGCCGGTTACTCGTTTACTGTAAGTGGATCATGGATATTACAGGATGGCATCTTTCGATTTCACGATTTTGTCGATGAACTGAGTGATCCTGGTGTAACCAAGGTTTTATCCCTTTACCCACCTGGATGCTCGCTCAAGATGCATCTTCATTGTTCACCAACTGGTGATTGGGTTACCAATAACCTGGAGAATCAGGCTTTCTCTCATTTCATGCACCTTTCTCTTAACCCACCGGACAGTCCAAATGGTGTTCCTGGAGCCTCCAGTTTATTGGAGTTCATTGAAGGTTCTTTGGAAACTCTTGAAGGAGAAGAGAAACTGGAACCATCGCCATTGATTGGTAACATTAGATTTGAACGACCCACTATGTACATTTTTCCTAGTGGTCAAGGTGACTGTTCCCTTTTTGGTGTAACTGGATTCACCATGTTGATTGATGGAGGTTTCACACGATTCCCTTGTTTTTGGAAATTTGTTCGTCATATTGAACGCCTTGATTCCATCATGATAACTCGAATAAACGAGTCTAATCTTTGGGGAATATTGTCTTTGTTGCGTGGTAAACAAGAGTCCTCTTTGTATCTCAAGATTGGTTATGTTTTCTGTAACATTGTTGATAAATCGATTAATAGTTCAGAGGAAGGCGTTAACAGTGAAAATGGTGGAGTTGCAAGCATTCAATCGAACCCAAATGATTTAACAATCAGTATAATTGAAGTTGGCAATGAAATAGCCTCTAGACTGAAACGGATTGGCTGTAATCCTCACCAGTGTCTTCGAGATCCCACTCCAACACAATTAACCTTGTACCACAAGGTTGGCCATGGAACATTGGAAATGTTCATTTTGAGTCCACCTCGAGACAGTAGATTGTTGAAAGACTTTTTGGCTCATTGGAGCTCAAATAAGGATAGTCTTCCGGTTGTGAGGACTCGATCAGCTTGCAAGAATGGTGGACAATCAGGTCAAGATATAGCCATTCCAATTTCTGATGTCATGTCCATTTGTTGTCTCCTCATTTGGAAGCCTTCTAATCCCAATGATAGAATCACGCGTATTCTGTTCCCTGGAAGCGCTCCTCAGAGTCAAATAATGGAAGGCTTGGCTTCACTCAAAGATTTGGATTTACTTCAGAAAAGAGTTTGCACAGCATCTTCTCTCAAACAATCGAAAAGTAAATCAACTGTTAAATCAACTGTTCGAATCTCTGAGACTAGTTCTTCAACTGCTACTCAAAAGTTATCTACTCGTTACAGATCAGTTTCTCCATCCATGAGAAAAACTCGTGTACCTTATGCTAAACAATCATCCACTGAAGTTGGTGATAAAGGCGGTGATAGCTCTGAGTCACAATCATCACCAGTGAAACGAAAGTTAATCCCTGCAACAAACCATCAAACAGAAACCTCAAGAGTCACTAGAGTGTCGACTCGGGAATCTGTTAAAAAGACTGCACATGAAGAGAAAAAATCAGCTAAAAATGTTACCGAAAAGAAGGCCAAGACTAGAACTAGTAGCACAACCCGATCAACAACAAACAAAGCTACTTCCAAACCAAGCTCTGAGCCTACTTCAGAAGCAAATGAAACACCAAAAGCTCGTCCTATCACATCCAAGCAAGTGCGAGCTCGAATCAACAGTAGACGTGTTTCTGATAAAACAACCAGTGAAAATGACAATGATACGAAAAAGGAGATCCAAAGTTGTACTGTAACAGCGGAAAATGGCGATTCTGACTTTAGTGATAAGAAGCGAGAAACTGTAGAGGTTTGCAGCGAAGATGATCATCGAGATTCTGGTAAAGGTTCAGAAGATGCAAGTCCGAAAAAGCTGCCGTTCCTTGACCATTTACGAGATGAAGTTGAACCAGACTCATTGGAATCCTATGAAATTTATGGAAATGTTGAGATTAGTAAAGACTCTTTGGAGCATTCGGAAGATGAAGTAGTCACTGGAGATAGTCGATCAACATCTCAGTTAGATCATATGATTTCACGTGAAGATGATGATGAAGACATGAAAAGCCGATCATCACCAATTCAAGAAGATTCAAATTTACAGTCAGCCATGGTCTCTTCTCTATCATCTAATATGAGTGAAATGACTATTATTTCTGGCGATAAAAATGATGACTCGGCTTCTGATTTGGAGGTTGCCTCACTTACTTCACGAATTAACAACAATCAGATGTCTAGATCAATTGAGATTTCTCATGTTGAGGGATCTAGAAGAAAGTCAACCGACTCTAACGGATCATTCAGAACATTAGAAGCAGAAATTAAGGCTGCTTGTATGGAAGAAGATCGTCAATCTATTGGGTCAAGTTCCAGAAAAAGTTCCATTCTATCTGATGCAGATAAAAGAAGAGATTCAATTGTCAAAGAAAATATTTTTGCATCAGAGACTACTTCACATGGAAAGCAAGAAATAGATAAATCAACGGCTTCAGAACGTAGAAGGAGCTCAATTATTGCTGGTGATGATGCTTATCGAAGAGCTAGCATCTCAAAGGAAGGTGACAAATTGGAAAGAAAACTTTCCAAATCAAACGAATATCAAATTGAACAGGAAATTGAAGATTCAAAAGTTGATTCATTGGAATTTAAAGAAGAATCGATTGAAAGGTTTTCTGAGACGTTGACTCAGAATGAAATGCAAATTAGTAGTGAGAAGAAAAAAGACTCTTCTGGTTCTCTGGAGGATAAATTACCAAAAGGATCCATTGAAGAAGGTGAAAGCCTAAGAAAAGATTCCGTAAGATTGTCTATTGATAAGTCAATGGAAGAGAAGAAAATTGAGGAATCAACAATAAAAAGTGAAAATGAAACCAGTGGACAGAATGATATTGAACCTATTGTTCCGGAAAGCAAGGATAATGTAAATGAAGCTGAAGTAATTTCTAAAGAAACGGATATTGATTCAAAAGAGATTTTGTCAACTGAGAAGGAAAAGTTACTCATAGATTCTTCCAAATCCCATTCTGATGTTTCATCTGAGTTATTATCACAAAGTCGATCAGAGACAAGCTTGGACATTGAATCAACTAAGCAAACAGTTGACGATAAAAACAAAATGGTTCAATCTGCTGACCAATCTCTAACACATGGCAGTGATGATAGAGAGACAATGGAATCAGTTACAGATTCCCAGCAGAGTGTAATTGCAAGCGCTGAATCAACTTCGGAATCAGAAAAGAAAAGGCAAGAGGAAGAGCAATTAACAATAAAAACTGGAGAAACATTGCGAAAAGATTCCATCACTTCGGAATCCAAAGCAGAAAGCCAGGTATGTGATGAAAATGTTGGTGCATATAAAATAAATGAAGAACAGCAAAATTTGAATGCTGAGAGTGCTTCTTCAATTGAAACATCGAAACAATCGCAAGTTATTACTTCGGAAGAAAGTGATAGGAAGATGTCTGGCGGAATTTTGTCATCAATAGAAACTGAGAATAAAGATTTGGATGATAAATTGGATACAACTGTAGGTGATTATATTAAACAAGATTCATTCGCATCGAGAAAAGAATCTATCAAAACTAGTGATACATTTTCTTCAAGTGAACCAGCTTCTGATAAAACAAAGCCTGAGTCACGAAAAAGTTCATTGGCTTTGGATGAAACTAAACAACAAATAACTTCTACTCCAGATGAATATTCAAATATTGATGGTGATTCTAGACAATTTCAACATTCATTTACTTCACAAGATACAGAAATAAAAGGCTCGTCTCAAACTGTTTCCTCTGATAAAATCATAGAAACAAAGGAGGCAAGCTTGAAGAGAGAATCAGTTTCAGACGTCTTCGATTTGGAAAGCGAAAAAGACACAAAAAATATAGAGATTGGATTTGATGAGGCTGCGAAAACCGAATCTTCATTGGGTCAAATAAATAGAAAAGAATCTGTCCAATTGGATAAAGATAGATCAAGTATCTCTGGTGATTCTCGTAAACAAAGCCTTACTTCAGAAGCTAGGAAATCAATTGATTCACCATTGAGTCCGATTGATAGAAAAGAAAGCTTTACACATGAAGAATCACAAATCGGCAGAAAAGATTCTGTCCAGTTTGATTTCGATAAAAGCAAATCTGTTGATTCCCGTAGATCAACTCAAACAGAAATTCAATACAATACTATGGCTTCAATGGAAAGTGATGCAAAAATTTCTGGTCAAACATCGTCATCTATACAAGACGAAAGGAAAGAATCTGTACAATTAGATCAAGTTAGATCAAGTATCTCCGATGATTCTCGTAAACAAAGTCTTAGTTCAGAAACTATAAAATCAAATGAATCGTTATTGAATCAATCAGATAGAAAAGGAAGCGTGCAATTAGAAGACAAAATTTCAGAAGGTGCCACAAATGATGATCGATCGTCATCATCGCAAATTACAAGAAAAGATTCTGTGCAATCTGATTTCGATCAACGTCAATCTTTGGATTCCCGTAGATCAACTGAAACGGAAATTCAATACAATGCCATGGAAACCGATTCAAAAATTTCTGGCCAAACATCGACATCTATACAGGATGAAAGGAAAGAATCTATTCAAATGGATAAAGAAAGATCAAGCATATCTGGTGATTCTCGTAGATCGACTGAAACAGACATTCAATATAAGACTATAACTTCAGTGGAAAAAGATTCAAAAGTTTCTACAGAAACATCGTCATCTTCGCAAATTACAAGAAAAGAATCAGTACAATTGGATAAAGATAGATCAAGTATTTCTGGTGATTCTCGTAGACAAAGCCTTACTTCAGAAGCTAGGAAATCAATTGATTCCGATGAAATTAAAAGAAGAGAATCAATCTCACAACAAGAAGATAAAGTCTTCACTGATTCCGTTCCAGCCAGTCCTTTAACTAAACATCAAGATAAATCAGATGAAATTATACAATCAAATGCTAAACATGAAGATTCTTCTATTGGAGTTGTAGAGACTACAGAAAATATTGAGTCCAAAAATACTCAACAATCTAATTTATTAGAGAAAGTGCCATTTGAAACGGAAAATCTCCATCTTTCAAAATCAGAATCTATTCTTTCTGACGATAAGAAAGGTGGTGATGATCAGAAAAGTCATGATATTCCTAGTCAATTATCCTCAACAATTTCATCAGTATCCTCAAATACGAAATCTGATGAGCAAACGATAGTTGATAAAAGTGAATTTGAAGACACTACAAGCGCAATTAATTATGATATTAAATCCAACGATGAAGCTGAAAATAAATCAATTACAGAGCATCGTAGAAAGCCATCCATTGATATGACATCAAATAAATTATCAACAATCACATCAACTACAGATTCATCTTCCACTGAATCAAATGCTACAAACACAACTTCAATAATTGATCAACATTCTACTTCAGACTCTGTCGATTCCGAGTCCTTTTCCATGCAAGATACTAATAAACAAACAGCTGGTCAAAAATCTATTGAAGTAACCTCTAGTCAAGCTGAAGCTAAAGAATTAGAAATTTCCAAAGAAATTCTTACAATTTCAAAAGATGATTCAACCTCAACAAGCAAGACATCAATTACTGAAACTACCTCGATAACAGCTACGAATACAATACAGAGCGATGCAGAAAAATCCGAATCATCATCATCAATAGTTCAACCTGAAAGTGCCGAATCATATTCAAAGAGCATTCCTGAATTACAAGAAAAGTCCATGGTGCAATCATCAGAAAGTGAGATAACTGAATCTAAATCATCTGACTCCGTAAAGCCTATTCAAACTGAAACGAAGCCTTCTGAAGACAATATAAAGCTTGAAGAGCAGATTGGCAAATCTGAAGAGCCTGGTGTTGACACGAAGTCAAGGAAAGAGTCGCTCAAAGAGAGTGTTGAAGCTCAAAAAGTTTCATTACAGTCTTCTGATGCTCCATGTAAATCTAATGAAGAAGACATAATTCAAGAAGAGATACTGAGAAAATCCTCAGTTGACATCATAGCTCAACAAAATTCAGAAAATGGAGAAAAGTCGAAAGGAACTGATTCAAAAAGGTCATCAATTGATGTTGAAATACAAAAGGCTAATTATTCCATCGGTTCTAATTCCATAGAACAAAAATCAATCCATGAAGAAGAATCTAAATCAGCTCTTTTAGCAACAGACCAAATCACTCAAAAATCAGAATCGAAGGTTGAAGAGTCTAAATCAAAGGAATCTACTGAAACCATATCATCAGAAACAGAGAAAGGATCTTTGATTCAGAGTCAAGAAAGTTCAACTTTCGACAAATTACAGTCCAGTATTGTTCAACAGACTACCAATGACTCCGAATCGCGAGAACAAGCAGAATCTTCAATACAGGCTACTTCATTTTCTACGGAAAGTTCACCAAAGGGCGATCAGCAAACTTCATTTACAATGGATCTCTCATCAACTGCAGACGAGTCTTCGAAAATTATTGCTTCTTCCGTGGATGACAAAGCGAAACAATCGACATCTGAAGTGTCGAATGGTTTGGCCGAGAAAAGGGATTCAACGACTTCTGCATCAGTCGAAGCATCTGATAACCTACAACAGAGTCAAATTGTATCAGGTCAAGCCACTCAATTATCAAATGAACTATCTGAGAAAATTATTGTTGATTCAAAAGACAATATCCTTCAATCATCAGATTCTGTTTCTGAAACTAAACAACTAAAAGATTTGGACGAAAAAAGAAGATCAGTTTCAAAGACTGATGATGAAAGAAGAACTAGTTTAGCAACAGATTCAGCGACGATTCGAGAAATTTTCACAACTTCTGATTCTGATGGTTCAATCTCGTATTCAGTTGGTGGATCAATTGTAACCACATCAGTCAGCAAACCAGACATTGAGCAAGAAACTAAACTTGAGACAAGCAGTGAACTAAGTAAAGAGACGAAAGATATTTCATCCCAATCAGCAAATGCCAGGACACAGTTTGAAGAAAGAAAATCATCAATTGTTTCCTCAACTAAAGAACTTGAAATTGTTGAATCAAGCTCAACAGAAACAGTTGTTTCTACAAACGTCGTTGATTCAAAATTGGTTGGTTCTAATTTGGAAACGACCAGTGGTGCAAAAGATGTGACATCATCTGGTATTACCAAACTATATCTTGGTCAAGTTAGTGGATTTGAAAGCTGTGAAGATAGTGAATCTCATGAAGCAGAAGAACACATTCAATCACCGAAAAATATCGGTATGAATAACAATCTAATTTCAAGTGATTTGAAAGAGACGAGTGATGATTTAGCTTCAGATTTGGAAGTGGCATCCCTCACGTCTAAAATGGATGGATCTTCAAAAATGACTGAAGAGTCAAGAAAAGAATATGAATCAAAAGTTTCTCTTGAAAATGAATGCGTTGAACAACTTTCATCGGAAAATTATTCAAGTGATACACGTGAACAATATTCTGTAAAAGATTCGAATGGTAAATTGCATACAACTGAAGGTGATGATATTAAACAAGATTCATTTAAATTAAGAAAAGAATCTATAAAAACTAGTGAAACATTTCCTTCAAGTGAACCAGCTTCTGATGGAAAAAAGCCTGAGTCACGAAAAAGTTCAATGGCTTCGGATGAAACCAAACAACAAACAACTTCTAAGTCTACTGCAGATGAATATTCAAATATCGATGGTGATTCTAGACAATTTCAACATTCATTTACTTCACAAGATACAGAAATAAAAAGCTCGCCTCAAACGGTTTCTTCTGGTAACATAATAGAGACAACCGAGACGAGCTTAAAGGAGAATCAGTTTCAGATGTCTTCAATTTGGAAAGCGAAAAAGATACGAAAAATATAGAGATTGGCTTTGATGAAGCTGTTAAAACCGAATCTTCATTTGGTCAAATAAATAGAAAAGAATCAGTACAATTGGATAAAGAAAGATCAAGTATCTCTGGTGATTCTCGTAAACAAAGCCTTACTTCAGAAGCTAGGAAATCAATTGATTCGCCATTGAGTCCGATTGATAGAAAAGAAAGCTTTGCACATGAAGAATCAAAAATCGGTAGAAAAGATTCTGTCCAATCTGATTTCGATAAAAGTAAATCTGGGGACTCTCGTAGATCAACTGTGACGGAAATCCAATACAATACTGTTACTTCAATGGAAAGCGATTCGAAAACTTCTGGCCAAACGCCGTCATCTACACAAATTACAAGAAAAGAATCAGTACAATTAGATAAAGAAAGATCAAGTATTTCTGGAGATTCTCGTAAACAAAGCCTTACTTCAGAAGCTAGGAAATCAATTGATTCTAATGTTAGTAAAAGAAGAGAATCAATCTCACAACAAGAAGACCAAGTCTTTACAGATTCCGTTCCTGCCAGTCCTTTAACTAAACATCAAGATAAAAATGAAATTATACAATCAGATAAAGAAAGATCAAGCATTTCTGGTGATCATCATGGATCGACTGAAACAGACATCCATTATAAAACCATTACTTCAGTTGAAAGTGATACAAAAATTTCTACAGAATCATCTCCATCTTCGCAAATCACAAGAAAAGAGTCTGTACAAATAGATAAAGATAGATCAAGTATATCTGGTGACTCTCGTAAACAAAGTCTAAGTTCAGAAGCTATAAAACTAAGCGAATCATCATCGAATCAACCAGATAGAAAAAGGAAGCGTGCAATTGAAGGATACAATTTCAGAAGGTGCATCAGATAGAGACTCGTTGCCCTCTTCGCAAATTACAAGAAAAGATTCTGTGCAATCTGATTTCGATCAACGTCAATCTTTGGATTCCCGTAGATCAACTGAAACGGAAGTCCACTATAATACTGCTACTTCAATGGAAATCGATTCAAAAACTTCTGGCCAAACTTCGTCATCTATTGAACTCGAAAGAAAAGATTCTGTTCAAATGGATGAAGAAAGATCAAGTTTATCTGGAGACTCTCGTAGATCGACTGAAATCCACTATAATACTGTTACTTCAATGGAAAGCGATGCAAAATTTTTCGAAGATTCATCATCACCTGCGCAATCTACAAGAAAAGACTCTGTTCATTTGGATAAAGACACATCTAGTATTTCCGATGATAAACGTAAACAAAGCCTTACTTCAGAATCAATTGAATATTTATTTAGTCAGCTAGAAAGAAGACAAAGTGAGCAATTAAAAGATGCTAAATCTGAAAGCGAAAAACATGGAGATTCATCGGTGTCTTTTCAAACTTCTCAAACTATAAGAAAAGATTCTGTCCAATTCGATTTAGATAAATCAAATGTATCTGGTGACTCCCGTAGATCAACTGAAACGGAAATCCAATACAAAGCTACTAATGAGTTGGAAAAGGGTACAGCATCTTTTGGAGACTCATCATCTTCGCAAATCACAAGAAAAGATTCTGTCCAAACGGATAAAGAAAGATCAAGTATATCTGCTGATTCTCGTAGATCGACTGAAACAGACATTCAATATAAGACAGTGGAAAGTGATTCAAAAGTTTCTACAGAAACATCGGCATCTTCGCAAATTACAAGAAAAGATTCTGTCCAATCAGATAGAGAACGATCAAGTATATCTGATTATCCTCGTAAACAAAGCCTTAGTTCAGCAACTAGGAAATCAATTGATTCTGATGAAATCAAAAGAAGAGAATCAATCTCACAACAAGAAGATAAAGTCTTCACTGATTCCGTTCCAGCCAGTCCTTTAACCAAACATCAAGATAAATCAGATGAAATTATACAATCAAATGCTAAACATGAAGATTCTTCTATTGGAGTTGTAGAGACTACAGAAAATATTGAGTCCAAAAATACTCAACAATCTAATTTATTAGAGAAAGTGCCATTTGACGCAGAAAATCTCAATCTTTCAAAATCAGAATCTACTCTTTCTGACGATAAGAAAAGTCATGATATTTCTGGTCAATTATCCTCAACAATTTCATCCGCATCCTCAAATGAGAAATCTGATGAGCAAACAAAAGTTACTATGAGTGAATCGATGAGAAAATATTCACAAAGCGAATCTGATAATAAATTTTACACTACAAGCGCAATTAAATCCAACGATGAAACTGAAAATAAATCAATTACAGAGCATCGTAGAAAGCCATCCATTGATATGACTGCAAACAAATTAACAACAACTACAGATTCATCTTCAACTGAATCAAAGACTACAATCACAACTGAGCAAATTAATTTCGGTGCTAATATGATTGGCAGCTCTTATCTCGGTTCGGATGCTAGAACCTCATTTATCGAAACAAATATCCAAAAAGAAGTTGTTGATGAAACAAAAGCAATTGTAGCTGAAATTGACGATGCAGCTAGAAAAAGCATGTTAGTTGATAAATCTATTTCACTCGACTCAATCGACTCAACTGACTCAATAAAACAATCAACTGGTGATAAAGTCACAAACAAGTCAACAACGTCTGGCAATACTCTGGTTCAATCCGGTGACTCTTTTGCTCAACAAACAAGTGAATTAAAAAGAGAATCTTTTTCCAAAATCGAGGCTAACAATCAACTTTATTCAACTTTAACTGAATCCTTCGATGACATCCAAGTAGACTTGCAAAGTACCAAAAGTTCCAATCTGACTTCGTCCAATTTTTCTGATGCAAAGTTTTTAAACAAATCCGAATCATTGTCATCAGAAAACGCTACTCACAGCACTAAATTTGATACTGTCATGTCTATTGACGAAGAGACTTATTTTTATCTTGAAGATTCTGATTCATTAGCTCAAGATGGTCATTCAATGGCATCAATATCATCAGACAAAAGAGTAACCAAAGAGGGTGAAAATAATAAAATAACTCTTTCTGAAACATCAGCTTCACACAGCTCCACTACTCAAAAACATGAAGACTTAACCTCATCTACACCAGAAACAAAGCTGTTTAAACTTTGCGAATTCTCGTCATTTTCGGAAGCTGAACAACCAGCCAAAACTATCGAAACTAGTCAAAAATCTCAAATGGAAACGAAAGATTCAAAGTTGACTGATTCATCCCATGAAAGTCGTGTTGAAAAAGACGGCAATAAAATTTCAGGAAACTTAGTATCCGATTCTGTCCAAGAAAAAATGATTATAAAGTCAAGCGATGAATCAGGTTCAACTGTCATGATAGAGGAAAGATCAAGTATTGATTATAAGCCATTCACTTCCTTTTCTGAATCCTCTTTCGGCTCATCATCTGCATCAAGTAGAACAAACCAGACAAAAGGGAATTCAGAAAATTTGATGAGTTTGAAAGAGGAAATGGATAAATCTAGATCTTCGAGTGAGGAATCAAAACTTAAAACCTCTGACGAAGCTTTATCAGGGAAAATTTTGAGTTCATCTGTGTATTCCGGAGCATCGCACTACACAGAGGAAGAGCAATTTGAATCGGGATATGCACCTTTTGCAAAATGTGTTGGTATAAAGAAAATTCCTTCTCAACCTGAACCAGACTCATGGACTAACGTGGTTTCAACGACTAAATCATTTACCGTTGAATCAAGTGATCAATTAGAGGGGGAAGATCGTCATCATACAAAGCAGTATGAAGTCGATGAAGGGGTCGAAGAGAAAATGAAATCACCGACATTATCTAATCAATCGTCTGCCAAACTCGTATCTCCAACATTATCACCACTGCCTGGTCAAAGCTTTGATAAATTATCTCGTGATATTGTTGACAAAGGAGTTTCTTTAAGGTCCATGGCTGCAACTGAATTGGCCTCTTCAATTGTTCACCTTGAAACTTCGGTATCCAAAGTCACCACTAACTTGAATTTACCTGAAGTAATTAGTGAAGAGGCAGGCAGCAAAGGGGAAGAAAGTCCAGATTTATCGTCTCCTAAACAATCAACCAGTGATTTCATTGCCAAAGTTGAAACTGCCCCAGGAGCAGGAACATTGGCTACAACATTCCCAACAGCAGGGGAAATGCCTTCCGTTCATTTACGCCGATCAGCACAAATGGCGGGTCAAGTTTTGTACGAGGTTCCAGACGAGGAAGATAATGTAGAATCACCTTTATCAGAAAAGAAACCAGTCGGCCTTGCCAGGGGAACCACCAGTTCCGTAGAGTTTCCCGAGGTTCTTCACATTTCCGAGGAAACTACACCTTCAACTCCGTCAGAAACTCAATCACCTAGAGATGCAAAATCCTTAACTCAAACGACAACGGTTACAACAACATCAATGGACATAACATCACCTGAAGATTCAAAGTCGGGATTGTGCTGTTTTCCGCGGTCTATTGAGTTGGATGGAATCAAGAAGGGAAAGGAGGAAAAAGTGACCTCAAGTACCAGTGAAACAACCACTCGTGTTGTAACCCAATCTCAGAGTCTAACCGAGGAACAGAAGAAAGAGAAAGAAGCAACTCTCAAAGAATGGGGAACTCCTCTTGGGCTTCCAAAGCCAACCGATGCAAATGACTCTAAAGGAGCCAGATCAGCGTCCAAATCTCGTGCTATTTCGTCCGATAGAACTGGTGCTTCTCGAAGTTATTCTTCTCGTCGTTCTGGCTCATCAAGTGACATCAAACCAATTTACCTTGATTTGGCTTACATTCCTCATCATGGTGATCGCCATTACTGTAATGCTGATTACTTTAAGCGAATCCGAGCTCGTTATTATGTTCTTAGTAGTGTTAATCCATCTAAAGAGGTTTTGGATGCCTTAATTGAAGGTAAAAAAAGTTGGGAAGATAAAGCTGCTGAGGTAACTCTTATTCCAAGCCATGAAACGGAAGCTTTGTGTTTATGGATGGCAACTAATCAGCAAACATTGGAAGATCTCAACATTGATGTGGCTCCGTCAGCTTCAAGATGTTCAGTCATCTTGCAGGATCAAGAAAGCAGTTGCTCAGCTTATCGAGTTGAGTTTTAAGACATTTAAGTGTCTTGTTTACTCGATTGAATCTCCTTCCCAATCAATCCCTTCATGAAGTGGGAAGAAAAATCAAGTAATTTCTCATTTAAATATCGTCAGATGCTTTGTTCCCCAGTCATACAATTATCAATGATTGTTATCATTATTGTCGACATTATAATTATTATTATTCTTATTCTTCTCATTATTATTCAGACAATAATTATTATCATTATTATTATTCCCATTATAAACCTCTTTTGGAGTTAACTCAATGGCTTGGAGAAACAGATTGGCCAATTGATGGTGGATCAAGATTCAACTCTCCTGGTTGATTGAATTGTCGCTGCTAGCTACATGGAGATGAATCTATCTAGTATTAATGATTACTAGGTGTGAAATCATTAACCAATATTTGAGATACGGTTGAATCAGGGTTACATTGAAATCAATCTAGGTGATTGTAATTATGTGATCAGAGGTATCCTATTTTGCAGATATTAGTGATAAAGGGTGTAACGCGTAAAAAGTTTAAATTATCTAAGATTGATAAGAATGAAGATGAAGATGACAATGATAAGAATGTTGCCGGACAGAGAAATAGACACAAAATGGACATTCTTATCAATGTCCTCTTCGTCTTCATTCTTATCAATCTAAACTTTTTACGCGTTACACCCTTTATTTAACAAGAAAAAAAATCAACTAAAAAACATAAATTAATCAACTTATCTCAGATTGATTTGGAGAATGATTTGTATTGCCTTAAAGCGAAATGTGAAATTGCATTGACTGTGATTGTTAAGATTTTTTTCATTCTCACAGGGAAAAATTTTGTGAGAGAAAACATTTTCACTGAAACCAATAGTAAAAATTAACACTTTAATAAAGGCAAATGGCGTGAATTTGAGGCAATTTCAATTTAAATTAGGAAAACAGCTGCTCATTGATGAGAAAACATTATTAACTAAATTTGAAATGCTTTTTTGTTCCTTTTCATTATGATGGCAACAGTTATCTCGATATCAATTGCAATTTTATCCTCCCTAAACAATTACACTATAATGTAACATTCAATTGACTAATGAAACAATAAGACAACTGGATGGGTTTAATCATTATTTTCACAAATGAACCTCTTGACTGAAAAAATATCCCAACTAACTTTAATGGGAAGGGAAATTGTAAATTGTTTCATTGATTCAATTGTTAACATCTTGAAAATTTCATTTCATTTCAGTTTTCAACTTTCAATCTTTGTTTTTGTCACAAAAATAGATTTCAATTTTTAATTCTAGTTAAAATAAAGTTTAATTGTTCCCATTTACTATTAAAATGTCTCCATTCCATTCATAACTATTAGAACTATTATGCTTATAATAAAACGGTTTACTTTAAAATGAACTTAAACTATTCAATTTCATTGCAAAATCCACTTTTCTAATGTAATAAATAATCTGATGAACTGCAGAATACTTACCTGAATGATCCGGCTCTTTAATTCATTAAAAATTGAAACAAAGCATGAATTCCTTAGCTATTGATAAAAAAATTTTCAAATAGCATCAAGAATATATTGGAACGAAAAACTTAAATAGAAGCCAGAATTAAATTTTAAGTTATTTGAAAAGCAAAACGACCAATGAAACTATGTTGTCATCACCCACAAACAATATGCTTCTTCGTCAAATGTTTATCCAGAAAATAGGTCGATATAAGGATGTACAGAAATATATGCAGAAAAAAATTGCCTGGTTAAATGCGTTTGAAATTGATTGAAGAGTGACTCAATGAAGTGTTTTGCTTGATAAGGTTGAATACATAGAAACTGACTATGATATGTAAATGAAAAATGGTTTGAGATACAGCATATTATATCCGGATCCGGCATCTGTCTTAGTAAACAATTAAGAGTGACACGATTCAAGTAAAATTTGTGTGATTTTATCAACCTGCACAGAATTCGTCATATGTCAATCACCTAAACTTAATATATTTGCATGGCATGAATAAAGAATTAATACCACTTGAAATAACACTTATTAGAAACGATTACTATTAAACCCACTTTCGATGCGATCTAGCCGTACTGTTGATTCCCTTGTTAGTTTGGCATTTAGAGATATTGACTTTGTCAAATTGTTCATGAAAACACAGCTACTGTTAAACAATGAATGAACGCATAATTAGATCATCCAAATTATTCATTAGTCATGACAAATAAAACTGAATAAAGAATAAATAAGACAGATAAGTATAAAAGTCGATCATTTCTCATCAAACGATATCAGTTGAAGCTTCAAAGTATACAAAGTCATTTAGTGATATTTCAATTTTGTTTTAAACCAAGTTATCAACCCAATCAACGAAATAACAATGACATCTATCAAACTTATATTCTCTGCCTTTTTAATGGCTCTTATGTTCCTCATTAGTTCTGCTCAAGAAAGCGCTATTTTAGGTTCAATATTAAATGAGCAAAAGCGAAAACAAGGAAAGTAGGAATCAAAAGAAACTGCTGGAAACTGGATTGATCGTAAGTAACGGTCCGAAATGTAAGAGAAAATTCGATCATGAAGTCACAGTCATAAAAATTTGATTAATCTAGAAAATGTAAACCCATGAAATTTTATTGAATAAATTACATTCGATTCAAAGAAATTTGACTCATTTTTTGACTAATTATATCGCGAACCCATTGTTCCTATTTACTGTTAAAATGTCTCCATTTGATTTATAAATATTGAATATGCATATAATGAATCGGGTCACTTCAAAAATGAACTTAAACATTCAATTTCATAGTAATATAACCCAATGTCAATGTAATGTAAGATCAATTAATACAGTGTAGTGATAAAACAGCTACAATAGTCATCATAATTTGATTTATTGATCGATTATTATTCAGAAGTAAATTGACTAATAAAGTTATATGTAGAGACCTGCCAGTAATTCGGACTCCCTTGAAATAGTATATTTACATTATTTGTCGCCCAATTTTCTATAATCAAGCAAATTGAACCTAAATTGTTGCACTAAGCTGATTTCGCGAGTTTTGAATTAATATTTCACGAAAAAATTAAATTAACACAAGTTAATCAATAACGCAAAAATCGAACTGAAATTAGGTGAAATCTAAATAATATTTTACCCTCTTTCAATAAGGCCCATTGAATAATTTAGTCCCAATCACTGGCACTATTTTTACCTTATTCAGATGATTAATACTGAGCAAAGGGTCATTACTTTACTTTACGATAAGACTAAATGTCAGGCAAAATTAGGGAAAAGGCGTTTTCCTGGTAAAAACTGAATAAACGGTTAAAAGAGTCGGACGATTATTCCGGTTACTGGTTATTTTTACCAAACCGATACTTACAGTGAGTTTAACCAATGTCTATTTACACAGAATTTTAAGCATCGATTTGTATTGTTTTAGTTATTCATTCCACAGATGGCAATCCCATCGCATAGTAAAACAGCATTGTGAATGGATCGTTGAAAGATCATCTTCATCATCAACTCTTTATGCCTTTTATGCGTATACGTAGTAACAGTACAATAACCTTTAATTCTTGTCCGTCTCCTTCTAGTTCCTTTCTTCCTCAACTGACTGTTTCATATCTTGATTTTGACACTTCTTGATAATTGTAACCAAACTTACCAATTTGTTACTCATTTCCTTCAGAATAATTCATTTTTACCTATTCATCATACCATCAAAATGACCGAAATTCCTAGTTCTTATCAGTGTGTCAATGTTTATGCAACATCGTGTACTACTGATAATCTTAGTCGCCATGAGATGTTGGGTTGGGTCAATGACAGCCTTCAGTCAAACTACAAAAAGATTGAGGAACTCTGCTCTGGAGCCGCATATGGACAGTTTATGGATCTCTTGTTTCCAGGAACTATTGGTGTCAAGAAGATTAAATTCCGAACCAACCTGGAACATGAATATATCCAAAACTTCAAACTCGTGCAGGCTGCTTTTAAAAAAGTTGGTTGCGATAAGGAAATTCCCATTAATAGACTCGTGAAAGGTCGTTTTCAAGATAATTTTGAGTTTTTACAATGGTTTAAGAAGTTCTTTGATGCTAATTACGATGGTCGGGATTATGCACCGTTAGAAGCACGAGGTGGAGTACCATTAGGGTCGGGAGTTCAAGCCTCTGGAAATTTACAATCATCGAATAGCAGCTTTACAATGCCCAGTCGTATGCCTCTTCAGAGTAAACCCAGTGCAGCAGCAACCAAACCAGTTGCAAGAACAGCTCCTGTTCAATCAAGACCAACACCCACTCGGACAGCTAGACCAACACAACCCAGAGGTGCTCACAATGACCACAATAATGACCAAAACATTGATCCTCGAATGGAGGAGGTTGAAGGACAAATGAGTAATCTCAAGTTAACAGTTGATAGTTTGGAAAGGGAGAGAGACTTTTATTATGGTAAACTACGTGATATTGAAGTTCTCTGCCAATCTACCCAAGAAAATGAAGAGGAAGACAAAGCGTCTCTCATTGAAAAGATTTTGAACATTCTTTATGCCACCGAGGAAGGTTTCGCTGTTCCCGAAGAAGGAGCTGAAGAGCCTCGAACAGCTGTTGAGGGTGCTCTAGATGAGTATTAATTGCATTTACTGTCATCATCATCGCATCTAATCATCACATTTATTATTTAAAGAAATTGCAAAAGATTTAAAAAATGAAATCACCACCATGTTTTATCTAAAAAACCTAAGTGAATTGAATCGATCCCGCCGTGAAAAAAAGGATTATCCCCATTAATACTTGTTATTAAACAGTCCAATTAAGCTTTTCAACAATATTGTGACAACTTTTATTCACAACTTGTTACGGTTTCCAAGAATTGCAAGTCTTAGTTGACAGTCGCTTTAACAGATGGCACTGTATGCCTTAAATACTTGAAGCTGATCAAAAAGTGAAATATAAAGAGTTAATTGTTGAAGTCTACTATACTTGTTAGCTCTTGAATAACATTTTATTAACAAAAGCAGCTTTAATTCAATTTCCAAATCGATAAAGCTTCACTTGAACAAGTCATCATTTCACCATGTAATAATGAAAGCAAGGTTAACCAGTGATTTATTCAAAGATTATACATGAAAATTGAAAGAAGCAAATTGCTTAAGCTTGATAAATAAAATTGATGAATGATAAAGAATCAAGAATGAATGAAAAATAAAATATAATGATGATAACAAGAGGATGATGAAAGAGAAGGGGTTAAGAAAAAGAAGAAAAAGAAGAAAAGTCAAATCAATTGAAAATATTTCAATGATGAAACCATTTTTTATCAATTTCACTCAATTGACTTAAAAGATTCAATTCCAAGGTAAAAAAATCAGCCAAATCTAATATAATAATTACCATTACATAATAGCAATATTAACATTTACAAGTTCATTTGCCTTGATATAAAAATAAAAAAGCTTGAGCGAAAAGCAAGATTTCAACAAAATTGAAAGATTACATTGTATCAACACGTATATTTATATACATGAACATGGATACAAGAGTTGAAGACCAATCAAGAATTGCCCAAATGAGAAATAATAAAAAAGCAATTCATCTCATGATCAGCATGATGATCATTCCAAACTTAACTAGGAGAAGTTGAAAGGAAAAATGAAAAAAAAGAAATGAAATTCAAGGTAATCTTGATTTAATCAGAATCTTAACTTTTCCATTCATTTTCTCTTTTCTTTTGCTCAACCTTTTTTTTGTATCAATGTAGATGTATCATCAAGTCCAGTTTACAAGAAAAGTTAATAATAGGAAACCAAAATAATCACAATAATGATCGGTGTAACACATTTGATGAGGTTAGAGTGAAAAAATGACTCAATCAAAGGTAAACATCAACACCAAAAGGTGAAACATTGAGGAATGAAAAAAAGGAACAAAAAAGACGCGTAAAAAGTGTAAATAATGATGCTGATAATAATAATAATCAGAGGGAAAAAAAGCTGACAAAAACCCAAAGAATCGATACATTTATCCTAATAATAATAATGATGATGATAATGATAATAATTTAGACCAAACAAGTTGACTATTGAACAGAATAGGAATGATTATGTTTAACCCACAACCAGATTATTAGTGTGATCACCAGAGTTGAAAGGAGCACAATGTTGAAAGATTAAAATCTTGGAAGGAAAAAAAGAGAGAAGAAAAAAGATGAAGATGAAGAAGAAGATGATGATAATGAAGATTGTCTATGTGATGATAAACAGAGTGAAAGCAAAGTTCAAGTTGAACGGATATGGATTGACTGTGTCAATCCCTCAACCGTGATTTGGTGATATTTTTTGGATATTTTTTTCTACCTTCCAAGGCTGGTGACTTTTTTTGGCCGTAAAAATAGCAACAATTTTCAGAGTGAAAAATCATTTTAACACAGATTCATCTTAAATGGTGACAAGTAATACTCATGCAGCGAAAAGTGTCCCTCTTACAACGCGATTAAACGCATGAAGTAACGTGTGATGCGTCCATACTCCTATCATAATATTATATTATCGCCATTTCCATTATCATTATTATTTCTTATCGTTACTATTATTGCTATTAATTATTGTTGATAATGTTTAAAAGGTCTAACCAATAACCTTAGGTAATTGTGACAGCAAGGTAAGAGAAGCTAAAGACTGAGCAATCTGAATTAATGAGAGTGACAAGTTAATATACAGTAAATTGATGAAGAAAGAAAAAGTAGATTAAAAATACAAATGTTAATAGTAATCAAGAAAATTACTGAAAAGAAGAAACATTTTAATTCCGGAAATTGGGCAAATGTTTATTAAGATTGTTACTGTTGAAACGATTCCTCTTTTTTTTGTCTTGATTAGCATTAAAGATGGAAGAGATGGAAATGTTTACGCCAACTTGCTGTTGTTCATGTTAATGTTGACTTGCAAGATGATTATGATTATGATTATGATGATTTTGATGATGATGATCTTTTTTTATTGTTATTTTTATTAACTGGCTTTCAAACATTTTGACTCGCTTCGATTGATTTTGGCCACATTAAAAAAGCAAATGAGATTAATTGAGTTAACATTATGCTTTGGGCTCTTTTCATTGTTTCCTGTGTTTTTTCATTGCCGCCAACTTTAATTGCGACTAACCATTTAGATTAATTGGTTCCTATTGGCAATGGTTGATGCCGATTGTTTACATTGACGATTAATAAGTCTCCATAATCAACAAATTGTTGAATCAGCAACAGCTTCTTGCAATTATTTTGGGCTCCGGTTTTGCGCTCTTTGCTTCACTTGATTTCCATGATTAATATTTAAATTATTGCTGATTGTTGGGTTAACGTTGACACCTTAAAATTGATTACATCTTGTAGACAATTTTGGATAATTTGAATATATCTCTAATTAGGTTGCCCTTTTGCTTTCCCTTTCCTTTTGTTCAAAATTGAGTCCTTGCTTGAGGGTTAACATCTTGCCAGTGGTAAGTGTTTTGACAAGACAGCCATCCGAAATTGAGGAGACAATTAAAGTAGTTAACCCTTTCCGTTTATGCAACTTATTAACATCTTAATCATCATCGTCATCATCCATGGTTCACATGATTTGAAATGGATATGATTGTCATCTCTGTGTCGGTTCACTGTGTATAAGAACAAGAAGCTGTAAGAGTAAAACAAAAACAAAAATAAAGAACGAGTTAGATTGATAATATTATCTGGTTTTAATTACTTGGATAATCTGACGTCTGGCTTGGTATCTTTAATCACATAATACCATCAATCTTGTCTTTGAGTAATTAAGTCTTACTCGGCAAAAAAAAGGAAACAAATCAAATAATCTTTTTGTTGAAAAGTCAAAAATGGCGCCTGTACTGAGAAACAAACATGATTCGGTAATAAAAATAAGCTTCAACCCTTCAATGTGATGCAACAAGTGTATCAAAACTGTATTAAAAGCTAATTGAATGTTTGATTGAAAGGAGTAAGATTATTAATAATGTACCCATTTATACAAACATATTGATTATCGATAATTAACATTCAATTTGTTACAAGGTTTCAATTAATCACATCAAATTTTAGCTTCTAATGAAACAATGATGTTTAACACCTTGTAATCACTTCCATTTGGTTTAATTGTGTTGTCTCTCAACTATATCAAACAAAACATCACAGAAATTCAGATTGTTCACTTACCTATCATCATTAAATTATTATTAGTTGAATTTATGGCGATAAAATAGGTTAATCCTTAGAAATAACAATTAACTTAAAACATTGAAAGCTTCACACAACACCAAAAAGGATAAAATTACCATAGGTTATAAATAGATGGCGTTAGATGTGTGACAAGTTCTCGGTTCTTATTTTAAACAAGTTTGGACTCGCCGCTAATCTCAATTAATAGCAAATGAAAAACAAACCTATCAAGATATCTGATCTGATTTAAAAGATCAACGGTTAATCTCATGCTTAAAGTGCATGTGAAAATGTAAGAAAGGCAAGATTGTGGCTAATAAACACGTAAAGATGTTTAAGTATAGCAACACTTAAACATTAAACATTGAAACATTGTCACAGTATGAGGTTTAACGAAACAAAGATAAAGCTAAATTGTAGCAATTAAATGAAAACAAAATCGTCTATTTCATCATAAAAACAACACTTTCATCAGAAAAGCCAATGACTTTAATCAAAGCATCCAATTAACATGAACTAATCAGTCAAAGATTAATCTTGAAACCAGAAGCTTGAAAAACAAAGATCAAATGGTAACCCAAAAGTCAATGGTTACAAGTCTGGTGCAAAACCATAAAAATCTGGTTTCCAAACCCAATCCTCTTCAATTTAACCAACAATTTGTTCAAACCAATCTCAAGTTACAAATTAACAGGAAAGTTGATTAAAAGATTAATGTTTAATTTTAACCTGATGATTCAAATTAGTCAATAACATTTAAACCAGATTAATGAGAACACTTTAATTATTCAATTGATCAAATTACCAATTGATTGAAGCTGAGGGCCACCAAAGTAATCATTCAAGGTAATCATTAAGAAATATTGAAATCATCTCTATTACCTGTTAATGGTACTTAAAGCGATCACAATTTGTGTTAATCAAGTTTCACCAATCAATCCATCTAATCAGTTGAAATCAACAAACGATAAGCCAACATCAACAGTTGAACAAATTACAGGTCAGTTTAGTAACTGAATTTGGAAACAACAGAAATGATATTCATCATGAAAACTAGCAAAGCTAATCAAACAAATTGTATTCAAAACAATTGAACCCAAAACAAATTAGCATTTAAAACGTTTCACGATTAATTGGAAATTACAATTGCAATGAGAATGGTTGTAACACCTTAAAAAATGATAATTGTTTACAATTGACTTTTAATGTTTGGAGACTATTTTAATTTTAGGTAAAAATGGTTTCAATTGCTGGTTAAAGGATAGGAAAAACAAATTGAATTGATTCAATAACAATTGGTTGGAAAGAGTGAAAAGTCCAACATTGAATGGCAAAAAAAACTTAATGAACCAAAGTAAATCACCAATTGAATAATTAATTATACGTTATGTAATGTGATAAACACGAATAATCGTGAGATTAAAAGCCTTTTTTTACTTACGAACCATGAGTTAATTGTTACACAAATTAACATTGAAAAGAGCGCATTAAATAGTCGTTACAATCAGTAAACAAGACAACATGATAACCAATGAGCCCAATTGATGTTAACCTAACCACATCACGCTAATATTTAATAATGAAAGTTATTTGTTTCTCATCAATAACTTTAGACTTTGTTGCTCCTGTCAGTGAGTAAGGCAACTCTCGATTTTTGTGTTAATTTGATTTTAATCAGGTATAATCATCACGCAATCAACTTAATACAATGTCTAAACAATATCAATCAACGCCAACAGACAAACTGTTTACAGTTGATTAACATATAATGCATTTGGATTGCCATTTTGTTGCTTTAAAAAGGATTTTCATGTTTTTTCATGTTGCTGTTGCCTTTTTTTGCGGTGTTTTATCATTTTTTTCAATTTATATTCATGAATGGACAGTTGAAAAACTTGTCGACTGACTTGAAATGATTAATATCTTGTTAACAATTTGTGTTAATTAATGTTGCAAAATTTGGGAAAACTTTGATTCGATATGCTCATCAAAAGATGAATCTAAAAGGGAAACCTTTTTCTTGCTGTTGTCTCAATGCATGATTTCATGTTCAATGTTTAACTTTGGGTTTTAAAGTCACTTTTTTTCTTGGTTAAACAAAGTCTACCTGATGAGTCAATATACCCATGGAACCCAATGTTACCTGTTTTGATGGGAACAAAAGGAAACCATTAACAACCTGAATAACAGTTTCATTCATTGGGTGGCCTTTTTTTATTGAGATTAAAGAGTCAATTTCTTTTGATGATCGTAATGATGATGATTCTTGTTGTTTAGTAAATCATTTACAGGGATTAAGGTAAACAAAAGTGATTAAAGTGACTAAAATAGTTGAAGCAAGAAGCTGGGTGAAAAGGCCTCAGGAACAAACCAAACTAGGTTAAGAGAAGCATTAACAATGTGATTTATCGCAAATTTAGAGTAACGACACTTTTAGCTGCATATTAGCTGTGTATTAATACAGATAGAGATACTTTGTGTAGAGAGATTTTAACTCTGGAGCGGTACCATAAGACTTTCGAGTGGCAACATGACATTCACTTTCATCAAGCTGTTGTTGCAAACAGAATCCTTGACCAAACTGGATCGTATCATGCCATCCTAGTCCAATATGAGGGTTGATGTTTGAACAAAACTGAATAGATGGTAATAGATGATAATTAAATTTTTAATATTTTGAGTTTCTATATTTTTAGGAATAACAATTAGATGCTTCGATCATCGACTCATAATTTTCATTCATCATTATTATTAGTAAGGATACAATCGTTAACATTCAATAGAGTCAAACTCTTGATGAAAAGACCACCATTAAATAACAAATTCATCCATACAGTACACTGCGTTAAATAAGATTAAGGTTGTACAAATGAATTCTGATTTTGCCGCTTTAAGCCAGTAAGTAGATTAGAAAGTTTGAGAACCCTTCAGACATTAGCTAATCCATGAACTTAAACTTTTTCATTGCTGGCGTTTTCTGGCTATTAAAGCAAATTTTACAATGCTTTTTTGTTTTTTTTGCTGTCAATTCATGGTTGCCGGGTTTATGGGTGAAACGGCCTCAGGAACAATCCAAACTAGGCTAAAAGAGGCATTAACAAGGGGATTTGTCGCAAATCTAGAATAACGACACTTTTAGCTGTATATTAGTTGTGTAATAAACGAGAGATTTCAACTCTGGAGTGATATCAAAAGAATTTCGAGTCGTAACTTGATGTTCACATTCATCAAGCTGTTGTTACAAACAGAATCATTGACAAAACTGAATCATTTCATATAATTTCAGACCAATATGAGGGTTGATGTTTTGACAACATCGAATAGACAACAGATGATCAGTAAATTCTTGCTATTCAATATTTTGAGTTTCTATATTTTTGCGAATAACAAGTACCTTCGATCATCGACTCATAATTTTCATTTACAATGTTTCATTATTATTAGTGAGGATACAATCGTTCACATTTAGAAGGGTTTGACTACAGGGCATTTACTATGTTTATGAACAAATTAGAATAAGCGCCTAATGTAGGGGTTAATTTTTTTGATAAAACAAAGTAGGCATATATATTGTTTATGCTACCTATTAATGTAAATTAAAAATCAGAATTGTGAATCATGCCTAAATTAATTAATGAAATCGTTTCAGGTGAGATTTTAGCTCTTTTAGCTAAAAATCATTCATATTCAGTCAGAAAAAACGTTTAATGTCCGAAAATATCAGTTTTTTTATCTGGATTTGTATTAAGTGTGGTCAATCGTAACGAAAAAACTCAAAAGTACAAAGATAATGCAAATAATTCGAGTTAAAACGATATCGACTTAAAAGGAGTGAACAACCAATTGCAAAGTTGAGCAAAATTTTGTTGTGCCGACTTGGTCAAAAATCGACTCAGAAATGGTCTTGTGAGTGTTTGATTCATAGAATTTTAGGCTCGAAAAAATTCTCAAGAATAATAGAAGGCATATTGAACAGTATTATCTGAAAAACTGATTAGATTCTTTCATGAACATAGTAAATGCTCTGTAAAATAGATTAAAATGGCATTTAAATCTGACTTTTGATATAAGAGTAGAGACATTGTAGGGTTACAGTGGCATAAAAACTGAGCTATGAATATCCTCCGATTGACAGTTTTGAACAAATTTAACAGTTTTAAATCGAGTTCAAAATATAAAATTCCATTGTACAACTATGGATTTTTTCATAAAACTCATTATACTGGTGTGACTTTTGCTGATCAACCAAAAAATGCACTTATTTTGTGGAAAATGGAACATTATTTTCTGTAAAATTGATAAGTTCGATAAGTCCTGTGCTTTTAAATGTTAGAGATTTTAAAGTTAATTTTTTTCAATAAAATATTTGTTGAACGCCAAGCATTGATCACTTTTGACAATTTTCCAACATTTTTCTTGTTTTGGTGACTGGTCTTAAAAATTTGAACCTGAATATTTCAAGAATCTAAATCATCGTTTCATCAAATTCATCTATTAAGCTTCACGGGGTTAAAGGGAAAGTTCATGTAGGAGGCCAAAACACATTTCCTCCTGCATATAAACCAATTTTAGTTTGTTTGGGTGCACTCTCAAAATTCATTTTGTCAATGTTTTGTCAATCCCTCTCACATTCGAACTTTTGCTAAACCTTGTATAATGTCAAAACATCAAATTCTGGCCCTCTAATTGTCCGCCAATTAGTTATCCAAGAGAAATTCTCGACGGAACGATGAAGCCATGATCCAATCTTATACAAACAAAACAAGATATCATGTGTTTGAAGGTAAATTACATACTTTGTCAAATTGTTGATATAAACACAGCTTTTGTAAAAGTATGAATAATCGCATAACCTGAGCATCGAAATTTTGCGTTGTTACTGACAAATGAAACTGAATAAAGAATGAGTAAGTCAGATAAGTATAAAAGTCGATCATTTCTCATCAAACGATATCAGTTGAAGATTCAAATATACAAAGTAATTTAGTGATTTTTCAATTTTGTTTCGAAACAACGTATCAAGCAAATCCACATGATAACAATGCAATTGATCAAAATTGTATCCTATGTCTTCTTGGTGGCTCTTATTGCAATCATTGGTTCTGTTTCAGCCGGCGCAGTACCAGGTGTTGCAAAACGAGAATTATTAGGCCCTTTATTGTCATGATTGAAAATATATGTTAATTTAATCTTTAAGTCATTAATGAGAATATGAATTTTCTAGAAAATGTCAAATCTTTGAAATTTCATTGAATGTATTAGATTCGATTTACAAAAATTTAACTTATTTCTCATTTATTATTATATTTAAACTTATTTTTTACTCTACAACTACTATAAGATATCCTTTTAACACTAGTAATATTCATTCGTGTTAATAAAATCAGCCATTTGACTAAAAAAGTGGGTTAGTGTCTTATTAGTGGCTTTATTGTCCTCTTTGGTTTTAGCGGCCAGCTTACAACTTTATGGATGTGCTGCGCGACGTGCGCTTAAAGGAATAAATGCATGCATAATTAATTGAATGTACATAATAGTGTCTAATGTACGGAACAATTCAATACCGAAGTCGAAAATAACTTAGAGAATGTAAAATCAATGAAATTCTATTGAATAAATTTCACTCAATTTTACAAAATTTCACTTTTTCATTCAATTATACGTGTATCTATATAGCTTGATCACTTACGAGCGATAAACTTTTAACCCAAGTAATATTCGATTTATAATGAAAAGGTATTGCGCACACTTGGATACTTTTTTGTTTGAAATCCACGTTAATAATACTTCGTTGATCAAGTACCAACCAATCATGTCTTCATAAAGTAGTTAAAAGAGCCAGCATGGAAAAAATTTGAAACCGCAATTCCATAGAATAGAACTAACATATCTTACGAAACTATAATAGTAATGGTGTATTATCTAGTAAATTATCTAATTTCTGAATAATCCGGTGATTGGTGAACTAGGAATATATGCAGAGCTGTCTTTCAAGTAAAGAGTTTTATTAATAATTTGGTGCCTCAACTGTACTAAAAGAGACCAGACGACTTTGAAGTCAATTTCGTCAAGAATTTTCCATCGCAAAAAATTTTGTCTCACGAATTGTCGTCAGAATGCAAGTCTTTAAATGTGGATTGAATTTATCGTACACAGCATAAATAAATTTGCGATCAGTCATGTTCATGGTTGGTCCACTTGTTATTATAAAATGACTACTTAATAGTCATCAATTAGCTCAGTTGTATTGAGTTAAACCCAATGGAGGTTATTGATAGTTAAATCCAGGTTTAACTGTCAACAGTTGACACTTTTCAAGCTATGTAATTACACATTAAGTTGATGATGAATAAATGAAAATCAACACTTATTGTTTGTTTTAATGGAACCAATTGTTGTCTACCGTCGATTGTCAACATGTTTAACATCTTGTTTGAAAATCAACTAAAAATAAAGTTTAATAATTATGAGACAGTCACAGGTTTTTTTGTCCCATTTTTGTTTCATTTTGTTTCTCCATTTTAAACCAAATAATCTGGGAATGAGTAACTTGATTGAGCGATTCACAGTTGAATAGCAATACTAATAACACTGATCAATCTGATCAATTAACTTATAATTTCAAAAACAACAGTAAAAGCAAACTTTTCCCAAATTTTTCATTTTTTAATCAAAACAAAAGTCCTTTTAATGCTTTTTTAATAACATTGCAATTCATTTATTCATAATCAATTGAGGTTGCATGTTATCAATTGGAAAAGAGGAATTGATTAATATTGTTTTTCATTGTTCAATTGTGAGACTCTAATCAATCCAAACTGGTTAATTAATCATGTTTAAAGGATTGATTCAGTCTTCATTTTAATGGATCAAGGATGTTAATAGTTAATGATTAATGTTTCCCCTTTAATCCGGTTTCATTTTTTGCACTTTTCTCCATTCATTTCATGGCTATTTATTGAAACTTGACTTAACTCAACTCATCTTTGCCTTGTTCCTGCAATTTTTCGGGGTTAATCTTGATATGTAAACAACTAGGTAATTGATTAGCAGTTGAACTTGTAGCATTTGATGAGATTTGATTGTAGAGGGAATCAAGAGAAATGAGTTTTCATTAAAATGTAATAAACACTGGTTTAACCTGTTATAACCCACTTTTGGTCAATCCAATTGCAAGTTGAACCATTTTGACTTTACCTTTTGCCAAAGTCAAAAGTCAACTTGAATCTCAAGTGAATCCTCAAATAGACGATTCAATTTTTACCAATCAATTGTTTGCAAATCTTCATTGACCAGGATTTAATTGATCATCAAATTAATGCATCTAATCATCCAGTTAATCTTGTTTATCACCTTTAAATTAGGTAAGTAAATTTACGAGTTTACCCATTATCAAGTCCATTAGCCATGTTCAAATCATCTGTGTGAGGCGACTGAACAGCAGCGCGAACAAAATGAAATGAAAAAACATTATTTTCCCTCTTTACTGTAACTATTTTTTACTTGCAAACAAAGCAAACCTTGAACTTGATCAAGTGTTACAATGTAATGATACATTTAAAATGATAATGAAAGCGTAAGCAAAAGCTTAAAACAAAGCTACAAGTCCAATGGCTTCAGGAATCAAGGCTAAACAATTTGTTTCATGGTTACAACCATCAAACCATCGCTAAACCAACAATATCAATTAACAATATTACAACATTAGCTGTGATTTGAACATCGCATAACCCTTTAAACAGTGCAACAACATTGAAAAAGCCTTGATCACTGCTTAACCATTATTAGCAAACAAAAGACTCAAGCTAAATATTAGTTGCTCTAAGGTAGCAACTTGAAGGTGTTAGCCAGCAAATTGATCAATTTGTTTCACAGTTGATTGAGACGAGATTTGAATAATTAGTAATTTGTAAAAATGATGGGAATGAAAATGCCATTGGAAAAGGTAAAGATGATAGGAAATTGAAGAAAAAGAGAAAAAAAAGGAAAATTCGAAGTTGCTTTTCTGTTCAGTTTCCGTTGAGAATTTTAATCTTGAAATGATTCATTGGACATGCACATCATTCCTCATGACACATCCTCTCTAATCCTCTCTAACCAACAATTTAACTCGACTGTCTCTTTACTGTCCACTGACACACTAAATGAATTGAACCAAAGGGTCAACTATTCCTGTAAGTAATGATGGACTGGATGGACAACATGAACCAAGGGTCAGTTACGATAGGATTTCCGGTCACAGTGAGAGCAATGTAAAGGTTGAAAATGATGATAAGTCAATAAGGAAAAGATCATCATCAACATTGAACGTTAAATTGAATAAACATTTGTTTCCACTTGGATCAACCTCTTCATTGTCATCCCTTGCAGTTGACGTTGATGGCTTTAAACTGGTTAAATCAGCAAATGATAAACATTTATCAAGTCTGTATCAACCTCAAGTAAACGTAAAACATTCATCACTGGATCACCTTTTCCCGTCCGATTCCAAAGACGACTTTCAAATAATCTCTTCCAACACGAAATCAGTCCAACCATTTCCACCACTTTCATCTTCCTATTCAATCATTTCAATTCCTTCAACTTCCAATAAAGTATTCACCAAGATTGACTCAAGTACACCTTCCCCTGCAGTTGATGCCAAATCCCTAATTGAAGATTCCGTTGACCAAGCAAATCAACTGTTGATTGATTTAGAGGAGCAAATTAAACTGGGCATTAATCAAGGAATTGAAGACGATTACGAACCGTTAAACATCTTCTCCTCATCGCTTCCACTATCATATGGTTTCAAATTTTCAACCTCAAATTTTTTGTTTCGCCCAATATTCAAAGCTACTTCGGTAACCAGTAAATTGCACTCACCAACTGGAACCCTTGATGCAAATGATGATATTATTGATCCGCCATCGACAATTGATTCAATTGATACCAACAATAATAATGATGTTAATGATGATAATGGCGGTAACAATAATAAAAAAAATGTTAATAAACAAGGAACTGCAACTCAGATTCAATCAATGATTGATGAAGTCAACCGAATAGAGCAAAATGTTGAGGTAAGTTGAATGAGAAACATTTTGTTTCTTCTCCTTCTTCTCGCTATCAGCTTAATCAATCATTATTAATATTAATATTTCCACTTAACTGGTCAGACTGATTATACAAACTAATGAGTTAATTAATAAAACAAAAGGTAAAAAATTATACAAACAAATTTAGCGAGGGAAATGTCCATTTTTCAAGTTAACAAATTGCAATGAAAAATTTCACTTTCAAAAGGTTGAACATGAAACAAAAGACTAATATTTACAATGCATTTTCAAGTAAATAAAATTACCTGCCAATTAGACGTTTAATTGGTAATTAATTTGATTGGCAACCAATTTAGACACCTATTTAACAGTCCCAAGACTTATGATTAGACTCAGGTTTAAACATCCCTTTTAAAGTAACCTTTGAAAGCTAAACGGTTCGCTTGTTTCCCAAAGCTTTAGACTGGGTTTGGTGTAGAGTTTAAAATCTCAGACTCAATTAGTTAACTGGTCAGTCTAACAAGAGACACAAGATTAATTAACCATTATTACAACGATAATTAAGAAATGACATAATTCGCTTCCCTTCCCTTTGGGCTTCCTAGACTCTTATAACCGAGTTGGTCACCAATCGCCGTTACGTTACAGCCGCCGTTTTCCGTTCACTTCTCAACTATCTCAGGTAAGCTCATTTTGTTTTTACCTTGTCATTTCCTTTCTCTACTCTCATCATTACCATCAAGACATAAACCAGTTTCTTACCTCAACATTTCAATACCGGATACTCTCTGTTAATCATCATTAGTAACATAAGTAAGGCCAATATTATCCATTTAAATGTCCATTTAAACAGTAATTTTTTCTTCTTCTCTTTGCTCTTTTGACCGTAATTTCTTGTTTTTTTTTGCTTCATCTTTTCATCATTTCTTTCGTCTCTTCTGTATTTACTTTGTTACAAGTTTAATTGGCTTTTCATCGTTAAATTGAAACAATAATTTACATTGATAGGTAACTTTTTAATGATGAAGGGAAAGGTAATTTTATTTGGCGATATTTTTTCACCCAAAAAAATTGGCTTCTTAACTTTTTTTTTCATTCCTTTAAACATCTCAACCGTAAAAGTATATCACACAATAATGATAATAGTTAATAACATTTTACTTCTGTGAAATCTTATCAAATTACAATTGGTATACCTAGCAATTCACAAGTTGAAAACAGCATCATTATCACAGCTACCACCAAAGATGATGATGATAATGATTATAAGTCTAATAGTTTGATAGTAATAATAATAAGGCTGGTAACAATATTATTTTACAATCATAATTGAACCCAATTCCAGGGGTTTTTATATCACAAAGAGGGTGCAAAATAAAGTAAATAGCAAGTGAGAGAAATAAACCGATATCAAGTTAATAAATTAATGAGACAATTTGCTTCCAAAGAAGGTGCAAAAATTGTGCTTCACCTTTAACCTGATTGAGTTGTTTACCTTGCTTTTTTTGGCTAATAAAAACTAAAGTAGCATTTGATAGTTGATCATAATCATTATTCCAAATCTAATTTACCAACTGTTTATTACCAATGCTATTAAAGCTCACTATTTTTTACAATCTTCTTCTTCTTCTTCTTCCCTTCTGGTAATTAACTTTAACATTGAAATTTCCTTTTCTTTTCCTCTCTTCCTTGATCTGCTATGCTGATGATAACCTTAATTGTTAAGACGAGTAAGGATAAGTCTTGAACGGTTACAAAGTCGAATGGCAATTATTGGTGTTGGCACCTCACAACAGGGAGTAGTAAATACAATTTCCTCTGGTTTATCATCTTCAGTCTCATCAATAGCCACTTCAGTATCGAACAGTTTCTTGTCAGAACCTGTTTCCGGTCCATTAGGTGGTTCTTCCGGTGGTCCTTCAATTGCGACCTCCTACCTTGAGGCAATACGGGTCCGTATGAGCCGAATCACTGATGAAATAAGAACTTTGATCGCCCGATTAAGGTTAAACTTCTCATCTCAATCATCACCTTCGTCAACTGTATCCTCAACCTTACCGGAGTTGGCCTCATCTTCAACCGTCCCACCTTCAACGACAAGTAAATCAAAATTGTAATTAGAATATAGTCGATCAAGTTAATTTAAATCAACAGTAAAAAAGATGTACTCACATTTAAAAATAAATTATAAATTATATTACATCAAGATGCATATTTCACTTTTTTTTGGTTCACCAGCAGCAAGCTTAAAAGATCAACGAGTAAATAACAGAACCCAGACAGATGATGAACTTTAATACCTATTAAAAAGCAGAAAAATACGATAAAAGTTGTGAGAAAAGGTCAACAATCTTGTAAAACAATAATTAATAATACTTACCGACACTTTATTAGTCTGTTAGAGCTGAATATTTGCTAAATTGTTATAAAAAAATATCTTTTAAAGCAAAAATAAACACAGTTATTTTCCTTATGACTACCTTTACGGTAATGGTTAATCTTTGATATTCATTGCTATTTATTTAACTTTTTCTCACAAATTGACAACGATAATAACATGATTAATATATATGTATGCTTGTACTTAATTGTAAATAAAATTATCAAATTAGCAATTGATAGCTTGAGAGCAAACAAATAACTTAATTACCAAATCCATAAGGAAAAAATGTAAACAAGTGAAAAAAACCAAAAAATAACCAAAAGACCAAAAACCGCCAAAAATTATTTTTTTCCTCGCTAGATGGCATTACTTGTCCATGGCCAATAATGAAGCTGCAAAAAAAGTTGACAGGAGTCTAGAAATGCAAAGGCACCTAACCAATCAAAGAAGAGCATTTAGCATCTTTGATAACCAAGGCAACGGATTCAAGAAATCCAAAGGCACCCATCATATTGAGCATGCTCAAGTACTTTAACTTTTTGCTAACATTTAAAAAGTTGATAATTTTAATCAATTGCAAGATATTTTATTTAATTTTGTTGATTTTCAAAATAAAATTTTGCATTATTGATCTTTAAAGGACAAAATTTTCGATTGATAAATATCATATATTCTTAACAGGAATGAGAATTCATTTAATCAGCTAAAAAACATTGAATCACATTAGATTGTCTCATTTCTAGTTCAATAAAGCTTTTTGATTATTTTTTGGTAATTAAAGATTAAATTGGTTCCCTTCATTAACTTTTCTCATGTTTTTTTATATTAAATCGCATTCTGAAAATACTTTTAATGATTTTTAAGCCAGATATTAAGATGAAATTTGTGGACGAGTGGGGGAATTGTGGGGGATCTCCTCAATTTGCTCAAAATTCATAATAAAATATATTTTTGTGAAGAAAATTAGATTATCAAATAAAGAAAATTAGCTATTTGATTTTAAATCTGAAATTAACTCATTAACTCATTGTAATTTAAAATCATTCATAACCATACAGAATGATTTTGAAACGATCGCAAAAAGTTAAAGTACTCGAGCATGCGTAATGTCGGGTGCCTTTGCATTTCTAGACTCCTGTAAAAAGTTGCCATTGAATTTGAGTTTATTGCGTTTGTAATTTCACCATTATTAGTGCTTAATATTTATTATTATTATTATTATTTGTGCTTCATCTTTACTTACTTTTCTTTCTCTCTTAATAAGTCTCTTTAAAACTTTCTCTTTCTCTTCCTCAAGTGGGAAAAAGATGAATTACATGATATATTCATACACATACAGTGAATGTATGTTTGCAGGATGTGGGCCTGGTTTGGCCTTGAAAAGGCACACGAAAACCAGTTGAGATGAAGACACTGAAAGCCAAAGTTGTAACGGTGAATAAACTTTCGAAGGTATTTAGTTGGTAGTTTGTGACGTTCGATGTTGACTGGTTTTTTTTTCTCTTCGCATTAAATTGTTCGTTCTTTCTCTTTCTCTTCTTTCTCCCCTTTCTCTCCTTTCTCTATCCCTTTCAGCATAAAGAAGACAGTAAATACATTGAGCCTTGTTTTTTTGGCTGATATCAACACAGACAGAAACAGAAAGGCTTTCCTTTTTTTCTTCCATTTCATCTATGATTGCCATTTCTCGTCATCATCACCGAGCTATTGAACACTAACAATATCTCAAAGGTAAGGTACATTTCACCTCGTATTTGGAGCCAAGTAAAGTTCCAAAAAAATGAATGTTTCTCATTCTTCTCTAACATTTCGTACATATTGATTGTAATATTACATAAATCTCATTATTTTATTATTGACAGATAACTGGTTGAGTAAGAAACAATTGCAAGGTATGGCTTAACAAAAAGGAGGAGATGAAGGAGAATAAAGAAATGAAAATTTGAGACCAAGCTGATGTTGATGATGATGATGATAAGAGAAGGTAGACAAGGAAAGAAAGGAAAAATTATAAATTGTGAGTGAATGAGAAGAGCTTGTTTTAGGTCTTGGAACATGATGATAGACAAAATATTGACCTTGAAAGTTGTATAACCCTGAATGCTGTTGTCTGCTTTATCCAAGCTGATGTACTTTCTTTTATAACCGCGCCATTTCATCAACATCTTTCTTTTTTCTTCATTATCATCATCATCATCATCATTATTATTACCATCACCATCATCATCTTCATCATCATTATTTCCATCATTTTTATCTTCTCCTCTTTTTACCTTTCTTGTTTTAACACAGAGAAGATGAGAAAAAAAAGTTGAAACTAATATTGGATCAACATTTGTTGACCTACTTTTTCAACATTGTTAGAGTATAAACAAGGTAAAGCAAGTAGAGAGAAAGCAATGATGATGATGATGATGATGATGATGGCGATAATGAAGATGAGAGGGAAAATATCTTATCCAAGTTAACATTTTATTTGTCTTTATATTAAATTATCTTCTTCTCTTTTCTCTTCTAGTGAATTATGATTTCATATTTTTCCTCACTTACTCAGTTCAACTAAACGATTAGAAGAGGAAAAAAAATTAGGCAACAAGTTGTCATGTGAACAGGATGAGAGTAAAAGCGTAGAGGCATTGCATCAATGGCTATCATCATAATCATCATCATCATTCTGGCGGGAAATGTCTTCGTTCGTTTCCAAGGTTATCTTTTCATATCATATGATTTACTTACTTTTTTAACCCAAAAAAAAGTTTAACTTGATTGTTTCTTTGAGTTGCACTTTTTTTTACTGCTGCTGTTACTATTTCTTGATAACTAACAAACTTCAATAGTTGCTTTAATTATAATTGCTTCACTGGTAAACCATTTACCCCTAAAATTGTACAACGTCAACAAAATGTTGATCAACATCAACACTACCACCAATAATCATACAACGGCAACAATTATAAGCAAGAAGAAGGTAAATATAAAAAAAGACAAAAGTTATTGACTCAAAATATTCAGAAACAAAAAAAGCCACTAAAATTAAACTCAAACATGATTACTAATTCAACTTAACTTTATTCTTCTTTTTATCTAGATTGGATTCTTAATTGTATGAAATCACTGGATGCACGCAAATGATTGTCAAGAGTTTTCGGTGTTTCTCAGGCTTTCACAATCTTAATTCTCAACCTGAATAGACATTGTGTCAGCAGAAAATTTAAATCAACGATAAACTTCACTTTCAAGCAAAGAACAAGATTAGATAAGGAACAGAATTACGGCCAAGGAAAGAGAAAACGAAAAGTCTAGTCAACATCATTATCTCAATTATGAACTTAATCTTCTTATTCCATTCTTATTTTTAATTCACCATCACCATCACCAACATAATCATCATCATCATCATCATTTTCTCCTTCCTTGTTAATATCAATAATGAAAGCAACAAGTATGATATTTTAATTCTGTACACTTGACTTGTTTCTTAATTAACATTTCAAGTGAAACAAAACAAATATCTTCATGTACATTTGATTGTTCATCAAATTTTGTTACACTAACTCAATTGTAGGAGAAAATTTTGAATAATTTAGGTTGAAGAGAAGAAAAAAAAGTTACGCTTTTAGACATTGTTTGTTGATCTCTCGGTTTCAGTGTTGATTGAATCAATGCAAAACGCCTTTATTATTTCACTTTTGTTTTCAATGTTTCTCACCTTCATTTCACCTTTTATATGTTTATACACACATATAATATAATGAGTGATTCCATCTGATTCTGAGTGATGATAATTCAATTCCTAAATAGTAGTAAGCAAAAAAAGAGGAAAAGAAAGAGATGAAATGAATTTTCACATGGGAAACAAGGAATAATTTTCCCAACCAAAATGGTCAGCAAAATGATGATGATAAGTTGATTAAAAACCATAGTTAAAATGAAACAACAACCATGATAGTCAACCCTGATGCAACCCAAAATAGCAAAGCCAAACAAGCCAAATGGAAACCCAAATAAAGTATTGATAAACTCGGCCAATAACTCAAGCTCAAACAGCCGCAGCTAAATGAAACCAGATTGAATAATAAAAAAAAAGATAATTTACTTTTTCAATCAAAGTGTTCTACAGTTTGAAGTAACAACATTTGTCCAGCAATACCAACAGAAGACACTTGATCCCAAAAGTAATTAGTGAAAAAATCATTTATTCACAAACAGAATCGAATTGGAAGGAAAAAAAAGAAGGAAAGACCAGAATTGAGGTTAACCCACTGATAATTAATATTATGATTACCAGAAAAAAAAGAGATTCATCCTTCTCATTTAGAAGGCAAATTAACATATTTCAATCTGACCATAAATGATGATGTTAATGCCACAAATCAATAATTTGTAATTTCATAATAATTCAAATTGAGATTAGGTTAAGACTCAATGGGAGCCAAAAAAAGTGATGATAATTATTAATGGTGAATATAAATCAGTGAATTTCAAATATTACAAGGTTAATGGAGTCATTGGAATCTTTGGATAAGCAGCAAAAAGTAATTCAAAAGTCTGGCTTCGTAAATACTCAAGTTACTAAGCAACTCAATGCTTTACACCTAATTCCCTGAATCAATGCAGACGATAACTTTTTGTGTCTGGTGTTCTGTTGGTGAAAAAATAATTGCAAGGTTGCAGATGAAATCCTATCAACTTATTCAGTTGATTACAGCAAGATAAATAACAGGAAAAAAAATTGAAAACCAGAAAATGTAACTTTGTAAAAATGCTTCAAAAAAGGTAAACACCAAACTGTTGTTGATTATAACTCGATATTTGGTTACTTTTCCTCAAACTCTCAATATCATCAACAACATTAATCTGTATCAAGTTGATTAATGGATAAGATTAAACGCTGAACTATTGGAAAACTGAAAATATTTAATTCTGTAAACTTGCAAGTTAAAAGAAGAGCAAAAAGGAAGGCAAAGAAGGCGAAGAAGAAGAAAAGAGTTTCTCATAATTTCTTTGACTTTTTGGATGGAATCCAGCTTTTCAAGATTATCTTGTGTGGGGTCAAATATGTAAGACTGGGTGAGATTAGACATTAGGATGAGACAAAAATAAGGTTAATGATCATCAAAATTTTGAATGTCATATACAATTGAGTTTCCTTCAACTTGCAAAGATCAGCATTTCTTAAAGAGTATCAACTGTAAATGTTACCCTTTGCGAAGTTGCCCATTCAACATTAAAATGTTAAACATTGAAATGTTGTAAATTGTGTAAAGCTGGCTAACAACATGAGTAAACGATTAAATGTATTTGAACCATTTCACGAGCCAAGTAATCATTTGAAGACGGTTAGGATTGATTAAAAACAAAAGGCTCATCAACATCAGTTATTCAGTGGATAGGAAGGGCTGAGAGGAACAAAAAAGGTTAGGCTTTCAACGTTTCACCTTTTTCTTGGTTTATTTAAATATCTTATCAGTAGCTAGACTTTAGTAGGCGTCTTTACCATCCATATCAGACTATTTTAATGTTTATTGTGTGCGTTTTTTTTTGGGTTCAATCATTAAATTGTCTTCCCAAATGGCAACACACAACATGTTGATCCATATGGATGTTTACTGATATTATTTGAATGATTACAAATTAAAACATACATTGACACTTAACCTGTTGCTGTTAATCATTTGTTGTATTTCCTTCACTTGCAATTCATTAATTGTCTGGTAATTCATCATTCTCACCTACAGGCAAAACAAAAGGTTAACAGTGTTTTGTTAAGTCTACATTTAGGTAAACAATCAAGCTGAACAACTAGACTCAATGGTTGTTCAACTGTTTCAAGTCAACCCAAAAACTGTGTACACTCTGAGTAATACCTGTGACACCCAAAGACCAGACAACAAATTAATCAAACGTAGTTTAACAAACCGTTTTGTTGGCCTTCACTGCCTTTAGTCATTATCTTTGTACCCAAAAAATCTGGTCTGTCAATCAAGTCTTTTGGTTAAACATTTACTGACCAGTTTTTATTACCAGTTGATATCAGAGAAAAATTTTGTTACCAGAAAATTTAATCAAAAATCATTGTAAATCCAAACGGTTTTGAAAAACAAAAACAAACTGAAAAGGCATTGAGATTGATCGGCTAGGATCAATGGCTAAGGATGATGGATCTTTTCATTGGCTTTTCATCATTCTCATGTAACATGATTACCTGAATGGTTAGAGTTCATTTTGCTGAAATGATGAACCAGAGAATATTTTTCTTCAATTCTGTTCGGTTTTTGTTAAAGAATTTTTTTCTCTTCTCTTGTTTTTCCATTCAAGTTGGATGAATTTTATTGCTATAATGACACAGATTATCATTTGAATAAGCACATGTTGACATTGACCTTGATATAAAGACAGATTGAAATGAAACCTTTCCATTGAATTAAGTCTGATAAGCATCAAGAAGCCTTTGCTGAGTACAGATGAAATCGATTTACATGAACTTTTTCTTCAACTAAAATCTTGAGGCTGACTTTGAATAAGTTCAACTTGATTCTCAATCCATTAAAGGTTTGACCAAATTTCGAGTTACCAAACCTTTTTCAAGCCATTGGTTTGAAAGAACTCTTTTTTTCATTGAAAATTCATCGAAAAATGTTGAAGAATAATCAATAAATTGAATTTGTGCAGCTATAATTGAATTAGATTATTCAACTTTATCCAATAAAGTTTTCAAAAATTTGGTGATTTATTGAAATTTAAAGTTGCGCATTTGAAATTTGGTGATTTATTTGTTCATCTTTTTTGTTTGCTGAATTTATCTTACAATTGAAACAAATGATTGAATAAGTTATGAGAATTGAGAATTGGCTTCATTGGCCTCTTATGAGTTATCAGGGTTTTATTGTTTTCAGTGGATCGATTCCTAAGGTGATAATTGACTGATAACCAGATCCTATTGTTTCCAATGTAAGCACTGTTGAGTTTCCATTATTTGAATTGAAAATTTCATCCTGATAATTTTTGGTTAAATTTAGTCGATTCGCTTGTGAATACATTGAAACTGATTTCAATTTATCTGCAAACTCATTTGGAAAGTAAAGTTGCCCCACAAAAGTAGCAGTTTCCTGTGACTTATCAAGATAAACATGAACATTTACATGCAACGATCTATTGGCAATCCAACCTGGAACAATTGTTACGAAAGAAACATCACCTTTAAAATCAGTTATCTGATAGCCTTGAAGAAAGTGTCTCTGGGTTTCATTTGCATAAGGTTTTTGCTCAACAGTATGGTTTGAAGTGACATTGACTTTAGTCAAGTTGCTAAAGGTCGGCACATAATTAACTGATTCCGTGGTAAATGAAGAATCGTTGTTATATGAATAAGTCTCATTAGCTGGTTCCCTGATGGATGGATCCCATGAATATGGGATCGTCTCATTAGTTTCCGATTCAGTAAAATTTTCTAAGTCCAGAGACTCTGTGATTGTTTCATCAATAACTGATTCCGTGGATCCCAATGGATGCCATGAATATGCGCCCATCTCCTTAGAAACTGTTGTATAATTTTCAGAGTCTTGAGACTTTGTGGTCACCTCATAATCATTCAAACTATAAGAACTATTTGAATCCGGAATCGAGCTGTTTTCATAAGATTCGTTGAAATTGTTCCACCATTGCTCATGAGGCGATCCATTAATTTCATGAGGTCTAAATGGCTCACGGCTTTTCGGTCCATCAAATTGAATAAAAGCTTCATTCAACTCAAATTCTGGTCGTCCATTTGGTGGAGGAAACTGTCTGGCGCTTCTTCCATAATCTTGTCTCAAGTGTTGTTCAAATATCCTTCCATGGTCTGGTTCATCATTAAATTTCCAAGGTCTGTCATGAGGATGATGCTCTTTACCATGAAACTCTTCAAAATTTTCCTCAAAAGGGTCAAATCGCCTGGAACGTCTCACACTATTTTGACCCAAATCGTAACCAAAAATATTCACATGCCAAACATAGACGTAAGCACCAACCAAAGGTTTACTGGTTCGAGCATCGACCAACCTGATTATCAAATGAAACGGGATTCCTGGCTGATTATCGGTTATATTGTACTTTTTCAATGTTCCTGTTGTATCATTGATCAATGGGTTTAACAATTCAGATCCATCCAAACTTGAAGGTGTCAATTCATACCAATACAAATCATCATATTCTGATGTTTCATCAAAATTGACTTTCCTATCAGTTGGTTCACTAGCACAGTTAAACTGTTCAATTTGACCACAAATAAATACAAAGACAATCAACCAAATCATAGTGAATATGATCAAGTTGAAAAATTGTCATCCTTCTACTATTACTTTGTGCCATTCAATTGAGATCCTTAATCACAATGAAACCCATTGTTTCCTTAACTCAAACAAAGCAATCAGATAACCAAGTAATCAATAAATTGCTCATTTCTAATGCATTTAAACCACTTGAAGAGTAAAAATGAAAAGCCAATCTTAACCAGAATCAACCCATAAATTGGCCAAATTCAATACAAGAACAAAACATTGGAAACATTTTTCTTCATCTCTTTTCAATCCATCTGAATCTATTAATTGTGACTAATTAACAGTTGCGAGTCAAAAAACTGACAAATGTTTAAACAGACAAGTTAAGGTAAATGAAGTTGATTGTCTTTGACTTGCCAGAGTTGCCAAATTTTTAATATTGATTCTGTTCAACTGTTGATTACAAGAATTAATTGATTCACCATCAATATGGATGTCACATAAATTACAGCAAAAAAGAGCACAAAAGAAAGGTAAGAAACAATTAAAGTTAATGGCAAAGTAAACATTAAATTTTCGGAGAAACCAGGCAAACCTGGCAAAGATAAACTTGATTCGGATCACTTTGTAACTCCCATCTTCATCATCTTCACCATTAAACAACAACCTGACCTTTAACCTTGAAATTGAGTAGTTCGGTGTTTCTCTGTAACTTTAAGTCTAATTAATGTTTAAAACAAGATTAACACAGCAACAAGCCAAAAAGTCGGCCGCCAGTTAAGTTATGTGTGTTTATTTTGTGTCACATCTTTAAGTGTCTTTATGTGATTTGAATGAAAACTAAATGTTGAACCATTAAAACGTTTTCTTCATTTTCTTTGAATTATTTTACATTTGTTAATTTAATTGTTTAAAATTATCATGATTAGTTTACGATTATCAAGTTAACAACTGTTATCAATCTTATTTCACCATTAGATGGGTCATTGATCTAAATGGTGATGCTTAATGGACTCTTGTTGGACAAGTCTATGAACCAAATAGTGTTTGTTGTTGTAGTTGATGATCTTGATGATGATGATGATGATGATGATGATGATCGTCCTACGGTTGTTTCATTTGATGAATGAATGTATGAGTAAGAAGATGATTAACGTAGGTTTGACTTTACATGTGGGTTAACCTTGAAACTGACCAGTTTACTGGTTCCCGTTAACAGATTCACATCCATTTTTGGGTCGTTTCACAGTAACAATGGAGAAGCTCGTTTTTCCATAATTCATGAGAAGACTCTTCAATTAAAATCCTAATCCTTTTGATTAAACCCGTTTTCTTGCCAATAAATCACTGCAACAATCAAGATGGTAAACTGATTAACTCTGTTTCCCTCATTGATTGATTCAACTTGAAAGAGACACACAAATTATCAATATCAATAGCAATAACTGTTCATAGCTTTACAGATGATATCTTGTTTGCATTGCATAAATTATCCAAAATAAGTTCATTCCCATTTAAACTATCATGTCGTTATCGTGAATCAAGATCAATAAAGATGATTCTAATCATTTCCCATTAATTTAAACATTCAAGGTTGATACTTTTTGTAAACCATTAAACTATCAATTTCAGCGCATTAAATATATTGTTGGTTAAGGTGAAAATGGTTTGCATTTTGTTTTTCTTACCTACAAAAAACAAATGTGTAACAGCAAAAGACGATAATGATGATGATGATTATAATTTAGGCAATTAGATGTTTGGAAAGATTGATCAACCCTTAAGGTAAGATTCCTGGTCAAAGATGATTCAGGTAAAGGGGAAACATTCTTCTTCTCTCTCATGCTTTAATTAAACTGATGAACATGAAGAAAGTTTCTCTCTCTTGAGACATAAAAAAAGCTTGAAATTAAAGTTAAAGTGATCGTCATTGAAGATCATTACATTGCATCGTAATTGTGTCTATGAATTTTAATACATTACCCTCAATAACCTTCAGGCTTGTATTAGTTTCGCTTTTTTTCCCGCTCAACTTTCCTTTTCTTTCCTCCTATTCTGGCCATTCATTTTCATTCTCATCTTCATCTTAATCGTCTTCTTCGTCCTCTTATTCATCTTCATCTTCCCTTTTTAGATTGATGATTGCCCAAATGAACGTAATTGATGTTTATCTAGTATACATTTTTAATGGATCAATTTTTGCTGGCTCTTTTCCTCCCCAGACTTGCCCTTTTCAACACTATTTTAACTTCTTATTGATTAACTTTACAACTCAACTTGCTAAATTATAAATTAATAAAACTAAATTCAAGACAATTTACCAGAACCAAAATCAATCAAACAATTAAACCGTAATCATTTGGGAAAAGTTGAAACAAAAAGATTGGAAATTTCAATTGTTTTGAAATGAGCGCCTGAACCCATCATTGGACCTTTCAGCTTTAGCTTTTCTTTCAACCCCAAACGGTTAATCATAAGATCAACATGACTTTTTCAATTTTCATTAAATCTTCAAGTATTGTCAATTTATGCAGTTTACTTACGTTATTTTACTTTAATTAACTAAATTAATTTTGTTGTCTGTTTTGGTGCCCCACTTATTATTCGGACTGTTGGACATCTTTTGTGTTTTAATTTGCTGTGTCAAGTTTGTCTTTTGTTAGGGTTTATAACTGTTTTGTCACTTGTTTTGTCCTCTTCTGTGTAAAGTGAAAACACTTTTCAACTGTAAACTGAAAGTTAACTGTAATATTTACTGGACTTTTTTTGATGCCACTTAAACTAATCGACTGATTAACATTATTTTTTTTCTACTTTCTCGCTTTCTTCATCGTTTATATTTGTGTTGCCAATACTCTTTATCTGATTATATGGTCAATTTTGATGGACATGACAAAGAGTTGATCAGATGTACCGTGAAATGCTTGTAATTTGGTTAATCCACGCATTCAGAATGTCTATTTTGATGTTTGAAGAAAATAATTGATTCGGAGGTTTGGACATGACCCAATAGTTAGGTGATTTGATGGTCAGACAAGATGCACATGCAATCAATCAAACAATGGAGAGCAAAATTATTTAATGCAATAATGAACGCAAAATTCAAGGGCTTGGTTAAAAACAAAATATGGTAACAGAGGAGAAGTTGATTGACTTTGATTTGATTGTTGTAGAGCTGTACAACCATAGATAAATTTGTGCCAAATTGCTTGATCATCATCATTATTATCATTATCATTACAATTGTGAATCCAGCTAATGATGGAAAGGAAAGAAATTTAACATTGAAAAGATGAAAAAACATGAGATTGGTTTCACGTGGAACAATTAAAACTGTAGCCTAAAAGTTACATTGAAAGCCTAGAGATGGTCAAAAGAATGGTCAAAAGTCAATTCGTGCCATCACAAAGATTTGAAACGAAAAATTAAAATCTCCAATCAATCAAAGAACAACAACAACAAAAAAGACTAAAGAAATTTATATCAATTGTTTTAATGCAATCAATTGCCAACCAAGATCAAATTGCAAACCAAACTAAACGAGGAAACCCTGTTTGACCCACAAAAAAAGTCATAACCAAGGGAAAAAAGCTTGAAGCAAGGGAAACAATCAAAATGATATCCACAATAACCTCCAGTCAAGTGCTACTGGAACCACCACAAAGAAACGCCAAGTAAATAGATGTTGAGGCTAAATCGATTCATCAATTTCTCATTTACAATTGTTAACCTGATTACCTGGTAATAGCAAATTGTTTTTAATAGAGTGCAAAAGGAAAAGACAACAAATGCAAAGCTCAAGCAAAAGAGGTATACCATGAAAAGGTAAAGACGAGACAACAGCAGCGGCAGTTGAAAGAAGGAGAAGAAGACTAAGACAAATGATATAAAAAATGGAAAGCAAAAAGGTAATAGTTGGTGGGAAAGTAATTAGTGAGTTGAACGCGTGCAAGATACCTTAAAACAATCCATCATGATGATTGAAGCCACTGAAGCTGCAAGCTACTTATTGAACAACAACCAATGTCTCCTCTGTATATGTGCTATTACAATTATTATCTTTGCTTTACTTACCTCTATCAGCAGCTGTTTTGAATATACGCGCCACGGCAAGCCAAGTCAAATCAAGTCCCAAACTGAAACATATTAAGGAAGAAGAAGAAAAAACGAAAAGCTGAAATTGAAGTGAAAAGCCAGAGAAGAGGAAAAAAAAGGTAAAGACTAGCATAAGGTAAATGTTTTTGCAATATTTTACCTCGTTGTTCAAGTCTTTTTTTCATCATAATTTTGCTCTGATTGTTCATTTCAAGATAAGGTGGCAAAAAGTGCACCGAAGAGTGACACTGGATAAGAAAAGAAGAAAGGTGGAAAAAAGTTGCGACTAAAGTGGGGAAAGATTTTCAAGTTGTGCAAATTTTAACCCTTTATTTGCTCTGTTACTGGCGCTGTTCATGTTGCTATTGAACCTTATTTATTTGATTTGACTCCATCTTTATTTGTTTATTTGATGGATTAACATTTTAGCCCAACTTCACCATTTAACATAATATTATTCACTCTTGTCTTTGCAACTTCCTTTGCCTAGTTAATTATTCACAATTATGCTGCTATTCATTATCTGATTCTGCTTTTGAGATTCATGTTTTGGTTCCTTTGAAACAACTAAAAGTTAAGCCAAGGAAGAGACAAGAAAGTGAGAGAAAAAAGATTTGCTTTTTGCTTTTCCACTGAAAAGCTTCAATGAACTTATACGTTTCGTATTTATTAATTAATTTGCTGTTGCTGTTGTTATTTCATCATTTTGCTACTGTTGCTTGACAAACTAATAATAATAATAATGATAATAATGATAATAATGATCGTTGATGTTCAAATTGATGTGGTAAATGTTGTTATGTCTGTGTGTGACAATAAAAAATGATCATCATTATCAAGATGAAAGTAACAACCTTAGACAATCAACTTTTTTTTAACTTCAGCTTTTAAAATTATTTTAACGCCAACAACGAAAACGATAAATTATCTTTATATATTATTTTTTGATAAATTATTATTGAAAGTCAGAGTCAGATTTTAGAAGTCAAGAAAACAAGGTAATCGCATTGATGATAATTAGCCATTTTTACTCAAATATGATTATACCATTATTTAAGGTTATTAATTTTGTCTAAAAATTTCTTTCACTTCACTGTTTCAGGTTCAACCAATTTTCATCGTTAATGACTTCCAACTTTACTATGTGCACTTTATTGGCCCTCATTTTATGACACTAAACAATCGGCTTAACAATGGACAATGGACTTTTTAACCTCGAATGAAGGAGCAATAATCAAAAATCTCAACGAAAATCCTCTTTGGTCACGGATAAAGAGTTGACCACAGAAAAGGAAAACAGAAGACAAAATTCAATCATCAGCTCAGCACTAAGCCGCTATTGAAATACTTTCATCACTCATCCTTTAACGTCTGATTTTTCAACCGTTTCCAGCCAGAACCGAATCCGTTTTTTAAAGCGATAATTCCCGACAAGAGCAAGAAATGGTAAAATTTAATCAAACTCAAAGGAGCCAAAATATGCTGTTATCAAGAGGATAAAATTTACTGTGAAATTTTCAACAATTTGCCGAAACTCAACTGTAAATTGGATTTTTTACACGGGAAAAAGATTAAGCTGTTAATTTTTAACAAAGCAAACTTGATGCCCCGAGATTAAAGCCCGAAATTAAATTGAAATCATCATGAGAAGCATCTTCATTTTGTTTTCCTTCCTGTTTAACGAATCATTTAACTCTTTTGTTACACGTTACAAAAAGTTATCTGACCCATTGAGGTTGTTTCCAGTTGATGATGTTTAATGATATGAGAAGTAATCTAATGATAAGTCTCTGTACTTTTTCATTTTTACAGTTACTTCCATTTGAATATCCTTTTTCCTTGTAGACAAAAGGTCCTTGTATCATAATAACGTTAAGATGGATAAAAGCTTTCCCATTTTACTTCACTTATTGGATACTCTTGCCCTTCAAACGGAATGATGATCACTCTTGTTGGTGAAACAATTTGTTTAAATATTATGAAACAGAGAGTAATAACAGTTTTAAAGTCTGCCCATACAATGAAAACTATTTGTTTCATTTTCAAGGCAAATAAATGTAAATTGATTGTAATCACTTTTTGCACCTTCCCATGTTACAGTTTTTGTTTGCACTTCTTAAAATAAGTATATCTCACTGAATAGACTGTTAAATGTTTATATTTAACCAAACGTTGGTTTAACTTACAGTTGGAATGTCCAACCAAAATCTGATTGATTGTTGTCAAACAAGCAATCAATTTAAAGCCACAAAAAGCTCAATCAACTAGACCAGGAACTTGAGAAACGAACCAGCAAAAAGCAAAAGCAACAGTGAAAGGCAACAATGAAAAATAGCCTTTAACTGATCCGATCTCTAAACCATTAGCCAGCAAACCTTTAAATTCAATTAAACATAGTTAAATGTTTCCTGTGAATCGTCAATTTTAATCATCAAATTTCAAGAATTGCAAATAATTGGAAAAATTAACAAAACAAAAATCAAAGGCAAAGGCAATCAACGAGCAAACCCGAAAGTGAACAAAGCAACCAAACTTTACCTAACTACAGATTGATTGTTAATGCAAACAATGCAAATGTTTATCTAATTTAAACATGATAATCAAGATGAAAGGAAGCAAAATGTTGATTAAAATTAATTTTATATTATTCTAGAGTTATATTGTAAATATTATAATATTATAATATTGTAATCCAAGGAGTTGGGTGAACGTGTAAATAGACAGTTGTTTAATGATCATGTAAATGTCCAAAAAAGTGTATTCACCTTTTGTCTTCATTCAATTTCGTTCTTGATTCTAAATCAGCTTTACTCATCATTTCTCATTATCATCATGTTCAACTTGAAATATAAAACTCTTTCTGGTAGATTGAATTTCCATTGAAACCAATTTCAAACAAAAATATTGAATTTCATTTTACGTCAAGTCAAAGTTTCACTTTTACTTCGCTCGTACATTATTCTTATTTTTGTTTCACTCTCCACTCATCTTCATCTTTATCCCCACCAATCTCTACAATCATCTTAATTCTATCCATTTTTATCTCGCCTGTTTAATCAACATTTTCACATTTTCTCAATCTCCATAAATACCAATTTGAAAAAAATTCATGTATCATCAGAATCTCGAAAGACTTTTCACATTTGCTTTCCCAATCAACAATGTAACCATTCAAGACTTAATCTCAAGTAAAGACAATGAAACAAAATCTAAAATTAGTGAAATCCAAAGAGACGAATGAATCGACTGTAAGTTGAACATTGAAACATCAAGTGAAAGACTTGAAAAGGTTGGACCAATAAAGACATTGGAAGGCTTAAACTAGCCATAAATAATGTTTACTGGAAAAGCAAAAAGCAAGGATCAAAGTGGTTTCTTGTTTTTAAAGGAGAGAAGGAAAAAGGTCACTTAAACCCGCTTACCATGGACCCAACTTATCTTTACTGGTTTGGCCTTTTATCGAGCAACAAGTAACGAGGCCAAAGGGAAGCAGTTTTTAAACCTAATAACGTTGATGAGGTTGATCAAGATGAGGATGATGAAGATGGGAATGCCATTGGCGACCTCATTTTTTTCCCTCTCATTTAAACTAGCATTTAGACAAAGAGAGTCTACTCTTCGACAAGATCAAAACAAAGGCCAAAACAGAGAAGAAGAAGAAGAAGAAAAAAAGTTTAAAGTTTGAAGCTTCGTTTGCTTGAAAGTTTATCTTGAGAAGCAAAAAAAGAAGAAAAAAAAGTCTCTTTTTTGTGAGTTTTCGCTATCATTTTACTTTTGCCAATTGTGGAACCTTTTGTTGTTGTTTTTGTTGAAATTGACACTGAAAATCAGTAGCAAGTAACAAGTCAAGACAAACATGAATGCCGTTTAAATATGCATTTGATATTATTTTCATTTTATAAGACAACTTGAGTGGCGAAACGGAAGAAAAGGAAACCTTTTTTTATGCTCAAGATTATGATGAGATGATACAGAATGAAAGAGAAGAGAAGAGAAGAAAAAGAAGAAAAAAAAGAGTAAAAAAAGTAAAACATTTGATGAACGCTTGGACGATTCAAAATTGAGCTTTTACTTTTTCTTATCTTCATCATCGTCATCGCCATTGTGCTCATTTTACAGAAGTGAAAGTGATGACGAAGGATCGGGATAGCGATTCATTGACGACATGAGAAGATGATAATGTTTACAAGGGCAACAAATAAGTGTCAATGGATGAGGTAAAAGATGTTACAAGGTGAAATTCATTGATAAGAATTACCTGGACAAGTTGAAGAAAATGATGAAAAAAATGTTTCTTTTGTGTTTTTTTTTTGCTTCTCTGTTCATTTGAAAACCACTTTTTTCGCCGTTTCCTCTTCTCTCATAATGGTTTCATTCAGTTTCACTTTGTTTTTGCTTTTATCTCTTTCAACTTTTCTCTGTAGTTGATTGTTTCACACATTGAACCAGAACTGATTGAATCGCGTGACACAATAAGATGAACGCCAACAGAATCCGGTTAAACACACAAACAGAAGCTAACCCTTTGCTTCAGAGTGTCGACAAGTTGATCAGTGAGAGAAAACAAAACAATGACAACAAAAAACTTGATTGTACTTTCACTCAATTTCAACATTTTTCAACACTTTCCAATAATCCAACTCTCAATGCATCATTCATCTGAAAACTTTACACTCAACTTTTGGCGCCCTTTTCGTTGAAACTTAATAAACTTCAAACAAAACTTTTCCTCAAATCATTTCACAAAAATTTCCAAACTTTTTTCTTAACAACATTTCTTTATAAAGTGTAAAACTGATTCATGCAAAATCGACTCTTTATCCTCTGAACATTAGCTTTCAATAAAATAACTTTTCGAATCTTTTTTCCAAACAAACAAAGTTTCGAACTTTTCAGGGTCGAACTTACGTCCCAATATTGAAGATAAACTATTTTTGTTGAGCTTAAGTTTTAAACAAATGCATTTATTTTCGCATTTCACTGTTGAATCGATATTGCAAATCGCGATAAAATTGAATAAAATCTTGTAAATGACTCGCCTTGATGCGATTGAAATAATGGAAAACTGATTTTTCAGTTTGAATAAATTTTTCAATATTTTGGAAAAGGTTGAAAAATCGAATTGGATTGAAATGATTTTGAAAAACACTGAAAATCACTAAATTAACATCAATTAATTAAAGTCACATTTACAGAAGTTTAATCATTAGAAGTAATGAGATTTGCCAAACGACTGAACATGAAAAAAGTGGAAATTGATTGCAAAAATGATTTAATTTGAAGTTACAGTTAACATTGAAAGGTTAAATGGTAACCTTAAAGAAAGTGAAAAACAAGTGAACCCAAAATGAATCATAAAATTTGACATTCAAAGTCTTAAACTCATCTTTGAAGGTTGACTTTGCAATATATTTTGCAAAATAATTTCAACTATTTACTTGAAATTGCTTCACAAGTTTACCTGAAATACCTTTACTTACTCAATATGAGACTCTGGAGGATAAAAAATTGGACAACAAAACTGTTTACCTTTACTTTGTTAGCCTTTGGTTAAAAGTGAAAATGAAGAGTCCAATTCAAGTCAAACAAGTTTAGGTGAATAAATCTTGTAAAATAATCTAAGAATTTGTTAAAGTAACACTGAACTATTGAAACTGGTCCAATTCATTTGAATTACCAGCAAAAAAAGAGGAAAAAAACGCAAAAACATAAAAATTTAATTGCATCTCAATAACTGAATTAGCGCAAAGGCAAAGAAAAAAGAAGAAATATTAATCAGAAAAATGCTATCAAATGAATTTAATTCTTCAAGAATAAAAAGAAATCGAGAAAAATTTCAATTTCAAATAATCTCTGTTGTTGCCCAGAAAGAGAACTGAGAGAGAAGAAAAAATCACCGAAAAAAAAACAAGTTTTGGTTCCTATTTTGTTTGCAATACTGTTTGCATTTACCTTTTCAGGTGGCTTATGAATCTTTTATTTACCTTTGCTTTTCGCAACTTTTTAACATGTTTATGTTGAATTACAGTTTAAAGTTAATTTAACTTCATTTAACCCTGTAAACTGGCGAAAGTAAATTTCACTTCAGTGAATGAAGAGAGAGAAGAAAAGAAAAGATTGAAAATGAATAATGGAAAGAAGTTGCAAGAAAAGTTGAGAGTAACTTGTTCATGAGAAATAATTTCTCAGATAAAAGGGGAAAATATAAATTATGAGTAGTTATTTGAGTGAAAAAAAGGAGGTAAGATGAAGATGAAGGGAAGATGAAAGGAAGATGAAACTCGTCCACGTCCCTGACCTTGAAAATGAAAATTCAAAGAATGTCGTTTCAACGAGTTTAAAGGGAGAACCAGAAAGGGGTTTAAAAGGAGAGAGAAAGAGAATCAACTATCAGGAGAGAGAGAAGAGGCTTTTCATCGTCTTCCAGGGAAAGTGAATGAGCGCCAGAGGGTTTCTCGTTGCTTCCCCTCTCTTCAGTATCTTTTCTGGTTAAAAGAGTGATGCAATAAATTCCAAGATACTCTTGGGTGGCTGTTGATATGAAGAGAGTAAACAGAATCTTCTCTTCTCCTTCTCTCAATATTTTCTGTTTAATCATCATTGATTGACTCACATATTTTGGTGTGTCTGTCCTATTAAGGAAAACAGTTACCATGGGAAAAGAGAGGGAACAACGTTTTCATCATCAGCTTTCATCATTCCTTTTTTTATCATTCAAACCTTTTCTAGACTTTGGTATTTTGGCAAATTGCAAGTTCAACGTTTGAACGTGTTTCTGCATAACTTTATTGTTGATTAGTGTTGCGTTGTTTTGTTTCAACGAAGAAAAATGTTCAAACTTTGAAATGTTTGGTGAAAAGGAAAGATGATGATGAAAGAAAGAAGATGAAGAGATGAAATCATTTCGTTTGGTTGGTTCAATAATGCAAAGGTTAATACTATTTTGTTTTGCTCAACATTTTTACTTTTTTTTTGCTTCTTCTTCTCTTCAACCTGTGATCTAGTTACCTGGTAAAGGAAAGTGAAGGAGCTGAAAAGATGTAGACAGTAAGAAAATGAAATGCAAAAAGATGTA